TTTAGGGTTTAGGGTGTAGAGTAGGGTTTAGGGTTTAGGGCTTAGAACTTGCGGTTCAAAGCCACACAAGCTTGAGTGCCGGGGCTGCTCTGGGGGAGAGGACGGTGCAATTACCCGCGTTGCTGAGCTTGTGCCCGGGCCGCTGGGAAGCAACAGATCAGGCACATCTCGAAGTTTAGGGTTTAGGGTTTAGGGTTTAGGGTTCAAGGCTCATTTCAAGGTTGAGGGCAATTAGGCTTCAGCACCCAACTTTCAACCCTAGAAGCCCCAAAGCTGAAACCCTCTAGACCCTCTAGATCCTCTAAACCCTCTGAACCCTCTAAACCCTCTAGACACTCTACACACACTACACCCCCCAAACCCTCGAAACCCTAAACCCTCTAAACCCTAAACCCTCTAAATCCTAAACCCTCTAAACCCTAAACCCTAAACCCTCAACCCTCAACCCTAAACCCTAAACCCCAAACCAAAAAACCCTCTACCCTCTAAACCCTAAACCTTACACCCTTCACATCGAGAAGCAACTCAAGCATCCATTTTTGTTTTTTTTACCCACGGTCTCGGCTGTCACGGATTTTCGTTACTTCGAGACGCTGGGTCGCCTGCCAGTTTCGGGGTTCAGGGTTTAGGGTTTAGGGTTTAGGGTTTGGGGTTTGGGGTTTGGGGTTTAGGGTTTAGGGTGTAGGGTTTAGGGTTTAGGGTTTAGGGTTTAGGGTTTAGGGTTTAGGGTTTAGGGTTTAGGGTTAGGTTTAGGGTTTAGGGTTTAGGGTTTAGGGTTTAGGGTTTAGGGTTTAGGGTTTAGGGTTTAGGGTTTAGGGTTTAGGGTTTAGGGTTTAGGGTTTAGGGTTTAGGGTTTAGGGTTTAGGGTTTAGGGTTTAGGGTTTAGTGTTCAGAGTTCAGGGTTTCGGGTTTACGGGTTTATGGTTTGGCTGAGTTGTGTGCTTTTCTTGGCAGTCGCTCACAGTCCAGTTAGGAAAAGGGGTCTAGGCTTTGCTCGCAGAAATCTCAGTCGTTGATGCTGCCCCGGGGGCCCTGAAATTTTGAAAACCCGAAAAGTCTATCCACCCCAAAACCCTGAACCCTGTAAGCCTAGGCTTCCACTAAAAACCCTACAAGCCCCGTAAACCCGAACCCTACAAGGCCTATAAGCCGTAACCCCTAACCCACTGCGCTCTACCCTAAACCCTAAACCCTAAACCCTAAACCCTAAACCCTAAACCCTAAACCCTAAACCCTAAACCCTAAACCCTAAACCCTAAACCCTAAACGCTAAACCCTAAACCCTAAACCCTAAACCCTAAACCCTAAACCCTAAACCCTAAACCCTAAACCCTAAACCCTAAACCCAAGGCCCCCAACCCTGAACCCAAGGCCCCCAACCCTGAAACCTAGACATTGCGAGGTCCAACCTGGTTGCCGTTCTCGGCCACTACATGAATGGTGACAAGGCAAACGGTTTTTCACCAGTTAGACCTTAACCGCAAATGCCACGCTTCTGTAATTATTATTCTCAGGCTACCGGGAGCCCTAAACCCTGAACTTGGGATGTTCCCCCTTATACGAACACTCCTCAACCGGGATTATAGTACTATAATGCGGAACATCCCAACCCTGAACCTTAAACCCCAAACCCCAAACCCCAAACCCCAAACCCAAAACCCTAAACTCTAAACAACGGTTGGGTTTGGGGCACCCTTCTGAGCAGGAGCGTGCTGCTCGCGCCATGAACCTTGTGGACAGCCCCCTGGTTGGACTCACTCCCTTCCCCGAGTACAAACATATAGGTTGAGGGTTTAGGGTTTAGGGTTTAGGGCGTGCGATGGGAGTATTCAATGTGAGGGCGGGTGGGGGATGGGGGGTTGGAGGGTGCGGTGTTGGAGAGGGACTCGATAGCGCAGAGGATGTCTCTATCACTTCCAGTTCTTAGAATCAGGAAAGCCGTCTCTTCTTGGGTTTAGGGTCTCGGGCTTCTAGTGTGGGCGTGTGGGGTTTATGCCGTTTTCATGGTGGTATAGTGCTTGTCTTGCTCGTATGAGAGTACCTTGTAATTATCCCCCTGCCTTTAGAAAATCGTTAGGGACCCGAACGCCTTAAGTCCCTGCTCTAAGGCTTAGTGCACTCAGGGAATGGGGTGTCCTAAGCCCGAACCCCGAAACCCTAACCCCTAAACCCTAAACCTAAACCCCTAAACCCTAAACCTTGAACTGAGGCTGGTCCTCCATCGACGATCCCAACAGTGGCCTCTGGCAGGCCTTTTGTGCTTAGGGCCCCTGCTATATAGGGTTACGTAACCCTAAGCCCTAAACCCTAAACCCTAAACCCTAAACCCTAAACCCTAAACCCAAAAACCCTAAGCCCAAAACGCTAAACCTAAGCCCTAAGTGATCCTGAAACTGCCCTCTGCGACGACATCCTTTGGTGGGTGTCTGGCCCTCAACCCGACCACCTCACTGCTGAGCAGTACCAGTTTAGGGTTTAGGGTTTAGGGTTTAGGGTTTAGGGTTTAGGGCTGCTGCGCGCCGGCGCAGAAGAACTGGGCCAGGCCGCGGCGCGTCGCCCACACTTGGGGGGGTCTAGGAATGTAGGGGACCCCCAATATAGATCCAAAGAGTAGGATCTCCTTATTAATAAGGACCCCACTAAGGCACCTCCCCCCCCAAATTCGGAGATCCCTCCTTTCATCCTACTTTCAAGCCAAGCTCCGGACCTTTGCAGCCCACCACGCTGGGGATCATCGGTTTGACGCTGTGCAGGCCCCTGTTGTTTGCACGGGCCAGTGCCGCTGATGCCATGGCGCAGTAATGGGTCCCTGAGTCCCCACCCCCATGAACCTTTAGTAGTCTTTCCATTTGCTTGAGTTTGCGCATGTTTTTTGCCAAGCTTCAGCAGCTCTCGCGCTTCCGGAGCTCAGGCCTTCAGTGCGTGTCGTCTTCTAAACCCTATGCCCTAAACCCTTAACCCCATGCGGTCTTGGCGCGAGTATCGTCGATGACTTGGAAGGAAAATCCTTGCACCCCTGAACAACAAACCCCAGACACCCTAAGCCTAAACCCTTCAACCCCTCAAACCCCCAAAGCCTGAAGCCTTCAACCTCCACAACCTCTGTTCAACCCCAAACCCATTTGCATGCCCTCGACCCCTCAACCCTAAACCCTAAACCCTAAACCCTAAACCCTAAACCCTAAACCCTAAACCCTAAACCCTAAACCCTAAACCCTCTCAACCCTAAACCGTCTCAACCCTAAACCCTAAACCCTTAAACCTCAAACCCTTAAACCCTAAACCCTAAACCCTAAACCCTAAACCTCAAACCCTAAACCCTAAACCCCAAACCCTAAACCCTAAACCCTAAACCCTAAACCCTCTCAACCCTCCTTAACACGCCCCCGTACAGGTCGCCGAACTCATCCCGGGCACTGATGCTGTGGCCTTCGCTGTGCATCTCCAATCAGGCCTAGGGTTTAGGGTTTAGGGTTTAGGGTTTAGGGTTTTGTTCTAGGCTTAAACCCTGCGCGGTGAAGGTTGATTGGGGGAGGGAGCTGATCCAACTTCGGGACCCTTATGGGTATCTTTCTAAGAGGATTCCTTTTCAACCCACGCACAAAAAAGCACCCTAACTGGGAGGTATTCAGCAAGCGTTCGAACCTTCACCTGGCCTAAAGCCTCGCTTGAGTTTCGATAGATCTGCGGCAGGGCATTATGCCCAAGCGCTCCGCAGCATCACGAAGACGAGCTGGGTGAACGTGATGACCAGTGATCCTTGGGCTGCATCAGGCTTTCACAGTCGAGGCTTTGCGCGACCCGTAGCCTCCGGATGTCTCAGGGCATTTACCCAAAGAGCCCACAATACCCCTTGATGAAGTAATCTGCCACTTGGTTTAGATGTGGGTTTCCGACACTTCGGGTACCTTATTGGGGTCCGTACTGTAAGGGAATCCAACTGTTCTGGTGAATTCAGGGGTAGGTAGAAGGTGCTTGCTTCTCCCTGTCCATGATACGCTTGAGGTCTGAAAGGAGACTCTCCACCTCGTGCCGGCTCTATTGTGGTTTAGGGTTTAGGGTTTTGGGTTTTGGGAATTTAGGGTTTACTGTTGTTTGGGGGAGCATGTTCATTCTCATCCGCCGTAACGGAACCCACACCTAAAGCCTCAACCCTCAACCCTGAACTCCAAAGCCCTACACCTAAACCCCAAATCCCAAACCCTCAACTCTCAACCCCCGAGCCCTAAAAGCCCTTTTCGTGCGCTATTTGTGTTCTGGGTTCCTGTTCAAACGCACCATCACTTAGTTGCTGGGGTTTTCTTCAGAACCTCAAGAGCCCTAAGCCCTAAACCTTTAATCCTAAACTCTGAAACGGGGTCTGTTTAGGGTTCAGGGTTTAGGGTTCAGGGTTTAGGGTTCAGGGTTTAGGGTTTCGGGTTTAGGGTTTAGGGTTTAGGGGGGTCGCCCAACAAGGCAACTCAGACCACAGCAGGAAGGCCAAAACGAACCCATGGGTCTGCAAACCCGGACGCCCCCCAAAGGTCCCGTGCGCATAGTTTGCCTGGTGGTTTGGGTGTGCCAGGCTTCTTCGTGGAAGCTCGAAATACTGCAACTTTCCAGGAGTTCAGGTTTGTTCAGCGGGTTGGAACGTGCGTATTGAAGGGTGCGTTTCGAAGCATGAGGGGCTTGAAACACTGTAACTTGTGATGTGCTAGACATGCACTAAGCCGAGGGCTTGTGAGTGTAGAAAGTAGTTTGGCTACAAACTTCGCCCCCGGCTGTTTTTTTCAGCACATTGACCCCAGAGCTGCCATCATGTTCGCATGCTCTGGCAGGTTGAACCTCCTTGTGCATTCTGTTTTGCCAAGATGCCAGAACGCTGGAAATACCAGTGTTTTTGGGCTGGTTCACAACAGTCATGAATGCTTGTGACAGCACTTCTTGTTCCGGAAAAGTCAAACATCCTTCGGCATGATGTTGTGCAAATGGGCAAGAACGCTATAAATACCAGTGGTTTTGGACATGGTCTCCGCAGGAACGGGCGTTATCATTCCCCACCGCTCCCCCCTCACACCCACAACTCCCCTCCAAATCAACCGACAATGGTTGGGGATTTAGGGCTTAGGGTTAAGAATTTAGTTTAGGGTTTAGGGTTTAGGGTGTAGGGTTTAGGGTTTCGGGTTTCGGGTTTAGGGTTTAGGGTTTAGGGTCTGGGGAATCCAACCAGCTAAGGAGATGACGTTCTTCATCCACTGCCCCGCCGCCTGCGAGACCTGGTGCGAGAAGGCGAGCCAAGATCACCCTAAACCCTAAACCCTAAACCCTAAACCCTAAACCCGAAACCCTAAACCCTAAACCCTAAACCCTAAACCCCAAACCCTAAACCGTAAACTCTAAACCCCAAACCCCAAACCCCAAACCCCAAACCCCAAACCCTAAACCCTGGACCCTAAACCATAAACCCGAAACCCTAAACCCTCAACCCTACACCCTCAACCCTAAACCCTAAACCCTAAACCTAAACCCTAAACCCCTCAGACTTGCTAGTGCTGGTTCTTGGTGCCTACGAAATATCTGGGGCGAGGGTTTAGGGTTTAGGGTTTAGGGTTTAGGGTTTAGGGTTTTGTCCGGGGGGGGGGGGGTGGTTGGCAGCTTAGACAGCGTGGGGGGCGGGAGATTGTTTAAAAGTTGACACCCTCAGAACTACGTCAGCTCGAATTCCAAGCCGTAATCTTCCTAAACTCCGTAGGCCCTAGATCCGGAAGCGTGTAGCACCAAGAGCGCTTAGGGGGGCTTGAGCTGTGGGGCCTGAAAGGTTCGAAGACACGGTTTTGGGGTTCAGAGTGTTAGGGGTGTCAGGGAAGTGTTGGGTTTGGGGTCTAAAGGGTCTGTGGTTTCCAGGGTGTAGGCTTTCGGATTTTAAGGCGTAGGGTTTGCTCCTTTCATAGCTTCTGATGCATGGGCCCTTGGGTTGTATGGGCTATATGCCCTCAACCCCTAAACCCCTAAAGCCCGAAACCCCTAAACCCCTAAACCCCCAAACCCCCAAACCCCTCAACCCCTCAACCCCTAAACCCCTAAACCCCTCAACCCCGCAACCCCTAAACCCCTAAACCCCTAAACCCCTCAACCCCTAAACCCCCCTAAACCCCCCTAAACCCCCCTAAACCCCCCTAAACCCCCCTAAACCCCCCTAAACCCCCCTAAACCCCCCTAAACCCCCCTAAAACCCCCCTAAACCCCCTAAACCCCCTAAACCCCCCTAAACCCCCCCCCTTAAAGCCCCTAAACCCCCCTAAACCCCCCTAAACCCCTAAACCCCTCAACCCCTCAATCCTATTCCCGTTTGGTGCTTGGGACTTCATTAGTCAGCCCTGGAGCTCGGAGTGCGAGTTCTGAGGGGCTTCTCGAAGTTGTGGGGGAAGTGATGCCAAACCCTACACACCCCCGCAACCACCAAAACCCCCAAAACCCTAAACCCTCAGCCCCAAACCCTAAACCCTAAACCCCAAACCCTAAACCCTAAACCCGAAACCCGAAACCCTAAACCCTAAACCCCAAACCCTAAACCCTAAACCCTAAACCCTAAACCCCAAACCCTAAACCCTAAACCCTAAACCCCTAAACCCTAAACCCTAAACCCTAAACCCTAAACCCTAAACCCTAAACCCTAAACCCCAAACCTCAAATCCCAAACCCCAAACCCCAAACCCCAAACCCAAACCCTAAACCCTAAACCCTAAACCCTAAACCCTAAACCCTAAACCTTATGAAAGGGATGCCTCGGACGATGTTGGACATCAGAAGTTTGCTCACCGAAAACCTGCGAGATGTTACGCCAGACAAAGTAGTCGAAAAGACTTGTCATGACGGATCGAGATGGGCTGTGGTGACTGAAAACACACAACGGCAATGGTTCGGATATCAGGCGAAGGGCAGACGCAGAGCTCGATTTTTGAATTGCAATTCATCAACCTGCCCTTCGGTTTCCATACTATGCAATTGCTATCCCTGAAACTGGCTCAGGGTCATACACTACCCAGATCCAAGTGGAGGAACTTAGCGAGGAAATGGCGGGGATGGATTTCTAAAGGTCATCTGGCCTTGATTGCTCAGGGATACAAGCCGCTAGAGCAGTGGCGGTAGGGCAACATCGGCGAATTATTTCCTTCCTCCTCCTATCCGCTACAATAGATAGTTACATGAGTTACATGTAGCCATCCGGTTGCATGAGCAACTTCTTAGAAGGACCCTGTGCGTCTAGCTAAATAGTCTAGGATGCCCAGTAGTACCCTTATTCCCTTTTTGTGGGGTTTAGGTTCCCTTATCAACAACCCTAAACCCTAAACCCTAAACCCGAAACCCTGAAGTGCGTCTTGCTAAATGGTTTCATGCAACCATGCATGTTTGACGTATCAGAGAGAAACCCTTTAGACCTGAGCCTGGAGAGGTGGACATCCTACAGGTCGACGTCCTCCCCAGGCAGGGAATGAGATGTGTGTTTCTTCTCTATTTTTTTTTTTGGGGGGGGGGGGGGTTAGGGTTTCGGGTTCAGGGTTTAGGGTTTAGGGTTTAGGGTTCAGGGTTCAGGGTTTAGGGTTTAGGGTTTAGGGTTTAGGGTTTAGGGTTTAGGGTTTAGGGCTTACTCTTGTGCCCATGCCAAGACCTTGCTGGGGGATTTGGTACTTCGGGCTCAGGGCTCCGGCAGAACCGTCGGATTCCAGTCGCATGAGATAGCCCAGGTCAGTTCTTCGTACGCATCAACACCCGGAGATTACCCTGAAAGCCCGTGCTGAAAAACTCTGCGGCGCTTTGAGTGCCTGCTGGGCTTGACGCTCTAAATTCTAGAAGTCCGGGTGTTGATGCGTACGAAGAACTGACCTGGGCTGGCTCATGCGACTGGAATCCGGCGGTTCTGCCGGAGCCCTGAGCCCGAAGTACCAAATCCCCCAGCAAGGTCTTGGCCGCGGCACAAAAGTAAGCCCTAAACCCTAAACCCTAAACCCTAAACCCTAAACCCTAAACCTGCAACCCTACACTCCCAAACCCCAGCCTCTCCAGGCAGCTGTCGCTGGTGGTGGGCCTGTCAGACGTGGTCACCAACTTCCTTCGTGAAGATCGGGAGGTGCGGTTAGAAGTGCTGTGTCCTCCGATGCCCTAAACCCGAAATCCTAAACCCTAAACCCTAAACCCTAAACCCTAAACCCTAAACCCTAAACCCTAAACCCTAAACCCTAAACCCTAAACCCTAACCCTTAACCCTTAACCCTAAACCCTAACCCTAAACCCTAAAACCCTAAACCCTAAACCCAAACCCCAAACCCCAACCCCCTAAACCTAAACCCTAAACCCTAAACCCTTAACCCTGAACCCTGAACCATGCACCCCTAAACCCAAAAACCCCCAAACCCTAAACCCTAAACCCTAAACCCTAAACCCTAAACCCTAAACCCTAAACCCTAAACCCTAAACCCTAAACCCTAAACCCTAAACCCTAAACCCTATAAACCCAAAACCGTCAACCCTAAACCCAAAGCCCTAGTCGCTGGATCGACAGGGCGAAGTACCTGAAAAGGGATGGTGGGGTTTGCAGCGGAATCTGCCTTAAGCGGAGCAGAGTGCTCTGGGACCCAGCTTTCTCTCTACTTTAGGGAGTGACACAGCCCTTCTACGGCCTAAAGCCCAAACAGGGTTTAGGGTTTAGGGTTTAGGGTTTAGCGTTTAGGGTTTAGGGTTTAGGAGTCTTTAGTAGGTTTTGGGTTTAGGCTTAGGAATTTAGGGGAAAGTGGTAGGGACTTGATAAAGTTACAGATTCCCCTTGAGTCTGCTGAGGTTCACATGTGGCTTGCTGCATGCTAGGCACGTGACACCACTGTCTTGAGAAATGCCAGTTGAACGCGATCACTACGGCAAACATAACCCTAAACCCTAAACCTTAAGCCCTACAAGACCAACGTGACCACCCCGAAACCCTAAACTCAAAACCCCTTTTTTTCAACCCTAGCCCTAAACCCTGAAGCCTTTTTTGAAACCCAAACCCTAAACCCTTATAGAAAAGTAGAACCATTTGCTGCCCATTTTAAAAGTACTTACAGGCCTACGCCTCGAACCCTAAACGTCTTGACATGGCGGCCGCCGGCTACGCCGCCAAAGAGGAGGGCGAGCAGCCCGCGCGCGGCCTCGTGGCCCCCTGCTGGGATTTAGTGTCTAGGGTTTAGGGTTTGGGGTTAGGGTTTAGGGTTTAGGGTTTAGGGTTTAGGGTTTAGGGTTTAGGGTTTAGGGTTTAGCGTTTGGGGTGTAGCGACTGAAACCCCCCAACCCTGAGTCCTTAATCCTGATACTGGGTAGCCGGGTAGCCTAAAGCCCTAGACTAGACCCCTAGACTAGACCCCAAACGCTTCGTGTCTTTTTTTTTTCGTGGACAGAGGGACTACGTAACATGTATGCAGATATGAATACTATTCTCCTAGCCCTACAACTGTGTGCATATATATATATATACTTATATATATATATACAGATATACAGACAAATGAATAGTACATATAGGGTTATGTGATAATCAAGAATGGGGGGAAGGAATGAAGGGTAGCAAACCCGCACCAGGTTCTGCTCTGCGGTATCCCGGGCTGCGGCAAGGACTGACCTTGTCTGTTGAAATGCCAGAGGGTTTAGGGTTTAGGGTTTAGGGTTTAGGGTTTAGGGTTGAGGGTCCCTAAACCCAAGCCCCTAACCCCCAAAGCCCCAAACGCCTTGTAAGAAACGCCTCATGCGCCCCCCCCCCCCCCCCCCCCCAAGGATGCCATCGGCCGCGCTTGCGCCCGCGAGTTTCCTGAGGCTGCGGCCCTCTCCCAGGCAGGTTTTGGATTTAGAGTTTAGGGCTTAGGGTTTAGGAGGGGTTTCGGCCTAAAGCCTAAACCTGAAACCCTAGAAACCTAAACCTCAAAAACCTAAACCTTAACCCCTAGATCCTTAGCTTTAGCCCTAAACCCTAAAACCGTACACCCTAAAAACCTAGAACCCTAAACCCGAAAAACCTAGAACCCTAAACCCTAAAGCCCCAGAAACTTAAATCATAGAACTGTAAAACCCGAAAACCCAAAACAACCCTAAACTCAAGGATACGTTACACGGCTTAGGCCCTGACAAGCTCCCCAGACTTCTCATGTGAAACCCTAAACCCTAAACCCTAAACCCTAATCCCTAAACCCCAGACCCTATAAACCCTAAACCCTAAACCCTAAACCCTAAACCCTAAACCCTAAACCCTAAACCCTAAACCCTAAACCCTAAACCCTAAACCCTAAACCTCATGTCCTGGCAGGACGAGCATGGGGGGAGCGCGACGAGCACGCGAGCGGCCTTCGAAGTGCTCCTCTCACGAGCCCTGGCCTCCAAAGTCAAGAACTCGAAACCCTAAACCCTAAACCCTAAACCCTAAACCCTAAACCCTAAACCCTAAACCCTAAACCCTAAACCCTAAACCCTAAACCCTAAACCCTAAACCCTAAACCCCAAACCCTAAACCCTGAAGCCTGAACCCTAAACCCTAAATCCTAAACCCCAGGTAAGCTTCCAGGTTTCCAGGGCCCAAAGGCTTCGGGTGTTTAGCCTCAGGGGGCACAGATCTAGGGGGTTCAGGGTTTAGGGTGTAGACCCAGAACCGGGAGAGAGAGCAGAGAGAGAGAGAGACAGAGAAAGAGAGAGAGAGAGAGAGAGAGACCCCAAACCCAAACCACCCTGTACACCCTGAACTTCAGAAATTCTAAACCCCATAGCCCCAAACCCTATAAACCCAAATCCTATAAACCCCTATTGCCCCGATGCACCCTACAGCCTAAACCCTAAACACCCCAAAAAACCCAAAAACCCGAAAAGCGCGAAAAGCCCGAACAACCCTAAACCCTAAACCCTAAACCCTAAACCCTAAACCCTAAACCCTAAACCCTAAACCCTAAACCCTAAACCCTAAACCCTAAACCCTAAACCCTGAACCGATGGAAATCCCAGGGAACGCCTCGCCCATCTTCGTCCTCCGGAATGGTGTCGACGTGGGGGACCGGTTGCTTGAGCTTGTGAATTGTCAGGGTTTGGGGTTTAGGGTTTAGGGTTTAGGGTTTAGGCTTTCTGGGCACTCAGGGGCCTGCACAAAGACTTCCAGCCTCCACGGTTTAGGGCTTTGGGATGTTTCAGTTTAGGTTTTAGGGTTCAAGGCTTAGGGTGAAGGGCTTTGGGATGTTTCAGTTTAGGTTTTAGGGTTAAGGGCTTCGGGTTAAGGATTTAGGGTTCAGGGTTTAGAGATCAGGGTGAGTTGCCTAGGCTTCCCTTCCTTCTGCCGGCCCGGACCGCCGGCTACCGCGTGATGGCCGCATTGCCGGGGGAGCTGGCGCAGGGCGCCGACCGCAAGGCTTGCTCGGCTAGGGGGTTTTTGGGTCTGGGTTGGCCAGCGGCAGTGTTGTTCGCTCTGTTTTCTTTGGAAGCAAGGCAGAAGTGCCCTTGTAAAGCCGACTATGTACTTGGGGTTTAGGGTTTAGGGTTTAGGGTTTAGGATTTGGGGTTTAGGGTTGAGGGTTTAGGGTTTCGAGTTTAGGGCTTCGAGTTCTTGACTTTGGCTGCGGCTTGTTTTCTCAACTTACTCTGAAACCCAGTACATAGCAGTTCATGCGGTCTTTTGGTTCATAGGGTTCAGGGTAAGGCTTGGGATGTAGAGTTTAGGTTTTCCGGGAAACGAGTGGTTCTGACGTTTTGGTTGCAGGGTCTTGCTGGAGTTGGACTCCGCACTACGGCTTGCATGTCAGTCTGATCTCAGCCGAGTACTGTGCCTGCCACACCAAACCCATCCGAGTACTGCGCCTGCCACACCAAACGCATTCAAATCTCATCCGAGTACTGCGCCTGCCACACCAAACCCATTCAAATCTCATCCGAATACTGCGCCTGGCACCAAACCCATTCAAATCTCATCCGAGTACTGTGCCTGCCACACCAAACCCATTCAAATCTCAGCCGAGTACTGCGAGCACTGCGGCTGCCACACCAAACCATCTGAGTACTGCACCTGCCACACCAAACCCATTCAAATGTCATACGAGTACTCCACACCAAATCTCATCCGAGTACTGTGCCTGCCACACCAAACCCATTCAATTCTCATCCAAGTACTGCGCCTGCCACTACAGCCCAGAAGCCCTGAACCCTATAAATGCTATAAGCCGTAGATATCCGAAACCGCCCTACAAGCCCTATGCTAAACCCCTAAACTGCTAAATCCCGAGACCCCCACACCCCCAGCCCCTACACGCCTAAGCCCTGAGCCCCCAAACCCCTAAGTCCTGAGCCCCCAAACCCTTTAAACCCCCAAACACCTGAACCCCCAGACCCTTGTATCCAATGAAATGCTCCCAAACCCTAAACCCTAAGCCCCAAACCCCAAACCCCAAACCCCCAACCCCAAGCCCCAAACCCCAAACCCCAAACCCCTGAACCCCCCAAACCCTTGTATCCAATGAAATGCTCCGCAAGGCAGCCCTTTTTCTCGCTTCGGTGTCTGGCTGCTATGGACGGCTTAAGGACGACATGGGGGTTGCCAGAGTTAGGGTTTAGGGTTTAGGGTTTAGGGTTTAGGGTTTAGGGTTTGGGGTTTGGGGTTTAGGGTTTAGGGCTTAGAGTTTAGGGTTTCCCAACATAGAAGCACCAAATTACCCCCAAGTATAGTGGAACCCCCTTTTAAAGGACCTCTAACTGGGAGGGTACACCGAATTTCGCAAACCTCCACAGATGGGGCAGGTTTTTTGCGTGTAAGGCTCAGGGTCTATAGGCTTAAGTGATTTCACGGGCTTAGGGTTTAGGGCAGGTTTAGGGTTTGGTGTTTAGGTTTAGGGTTTAGGGTTTGGGGTTTAGGGTTTATGTAGGGATTAGGGTTGCGAAGCCCTAAACCCTATGACTAACCTGAAGCTTAACCCTAACCTTAGACAAAACTCCCGAGCTCTGCAAAAGCTGCCCTGACCGTCACCTGCAGTTGTGCCCTAAGCCCGACCATGAGGGCCCCCCCACTATACCATATCTCGGGAGCATCTAACCTAACTTTTGATACTTAAACGGAACGTTAGCTCTGGCTGACCGGGGGACCTCCTCACCGCAAGCGAAACCAAACCCTAAGCTCCAAACCCTAAACCCTAAACCCCAAACCCTAAGCCCTAAAGCCCCTAATTCCTCTGAGTTTGAGGAGGGCGGGCGGAGTGGACACGAAACGCTGACAGTGACGGAGAAGCTGGCGAAGCCCGCCCAGGCGTCCGGTTTAGGGTTTTCCGGAGCCGCAGGTTGAATACCTAAACCCTAAACCCTAAACCCTAAACCCTAAACCCTAAACCCTAAACCCTAAACCCTAAACCCTAAACCCTAAACCCTAAACCCTAAACCCCTAAACCTGAAGTCCTACACCCTCAATCCCTCAATCCTCAATCCGAAACCCCGGTCCGCACCTACATTTCACGGTAACCTGTGGTCTGAGTCTTTGTGCCTGAGGCTCCGTGCAAATACAAAATATACAATATATGATTTGTATACATATATCATACAATCTGTGTGTATACAAGTATAGAGATATGTGTATTATATATACATATATATATATATACATGCGCATATACATGAAAGTTTCTTCGGCTGTGCGGGACTCGGGCTAAGAATGCTTTTGGGGTTTAGGCTTTAGGGGCCCGAAATGGGGAGCAGTTTGTCTTTGTAGTCGTCTGTGTCACTTGGAAGCTGAGGGAGTGACAGGGTAGACCTGAACCCTGAACCCTGATCCCTGAACCCTGAACCCTGAACCCTGAACCCTGAACCCTGAACCCTGAACCCTGAACCCTAAACCCTAAACCCTAAACCCCACCACGACATCGCAGGTGTGCCTGGACTTTCTTCGGAGCTTCCGTGCGCCCTCTGCTCCTGGTGAGGTGGACGCAGTGCTGCAGCTGCTCTCTGGCCTTCATAAGCACTCGGAACTTTAGGGCTCTTAGGGTTCTAGGGTTTAGGGTTTAGGAGGGTTTAGGGTTTAGGGTTTAGTATGGGTTTAGGGTTTAGGGTTTAGCACCCTCAACCCTGAACTTCATACCCCCTGAATCCCCAAGACGAATTCAATGTCGGATCCGAGTAGTCCTCACCCGAAGCAACCTTTGAACAGCCCTGTATGACTCAACCCTGAACGGTCATAATGCCCAACTACCCCGTTGCAGAGACCTGGTCTTAACTTACAGGATCCGTTTGTCACCCATGCGGATGCCATCCGAGGCAGTTTCTTCTCCCTGACTTGTCTGACTTCAGCCGTTCTTTGAGCATCTCCCTCGATGAGGCCGGTTTAGGGTCTGTGCTTGGGATGTTCCCCTTGTACTAGCAGTCCTTAATGGGGATTCTAGTACCCCCCTTTTATAATCCTATTAAGGACTGTTAGCACAAGGAAAAACATCCCAAGGTTGAACCGCGTACGGTTTCAGGATTAGGGTTGCTGTCCATGTACGCAGAAGACCTCCTGCTTCTGAGTACCCGGAATGAGGGAATGAGGCACTAGGTACTGCCTCAAGGGCCTACTAGGCCCTTGGGGCAGTTTGTATTTCCCCTTGTTCATATTCAGGATTTTTTTCAGAGGGTTTTAAGGTCCATCCTCGGACCCTAAACCCTAAACCCTAAACCCTAAACCCTAAACCCTAAACCCTAAACCCTAAACCCTAAACCCTAAACACTAAAACCCTAAACCCTAAACCCTAAACCCTAAACCCTAAACCCTAAACCCTAAACCCTAAACCCTAAACCCTAAACCCTAAAACCCTAACACCCTAAACCCTAAACCCTAAACCCTAAACCCTAAACCCTAAACCCTAAACCCTAAACCCTAAACCCTAAACCCTAAACCCAAACCCTAAACCCTAAACCCTAAACCCTAAACCCTAAACCCTAAACCCTAAACCCTAAGCCCTAAACCCTAAACCTAAACCCAAAACTCAAAAAGCCCTGAGCCTTAAACCCTTCAACCCTTCAACCCTCAACCCTGGCTGTGAGGTGGCTGTGGACATGCGCAAGGGAAAGGCCCTCCCAGATGCCGTTGCGCAGGCACCATGAGGGTTGAGGGTCTAGGGTTTAGGGTTTAGGGTTGAGGGTTTAGGGTTTAGGGTTGAGGGTTGAGGGTTTAGGGTTGAGGGTTTAGGGTTTAGGGGTTAGGGTTTTGCCTTCCTTGCAGTGCTAATCGCACCAGGGAGCTTACACCGCAAGTCGTAAGCCCGAGTTTGTTCTCACACCGCACCCGCTGCTGAAATCTCAAACTCACAACTTTGTGGTACTTTACTGTAACTTTAGATCCTTACCTTTTTGGGGTTTATTGGGTTTCTTATTAAGGCAGCTAAAAGCTTAATTTATAGCTACCCTCCTGAGTGCAGCCAAGTCAAAGCCCTAACCAATGCCCCACAGATGGTGCTGCGGCTGCATATGGGGCTTTCCGAACATAGGGGCGCCTTTTTTGGGTGTCCCTTTAAGGGGGTTCTATTTGGGGTCGAAAAGGGGTGCCCCTATTTTCTTTGTGGTTCTTTACTGTAACTTTAGATCCTTAGCCTTTTTGGGTTCATTGGGTTTCTTAAGAAGGCAGCTAGAAATTTATTTTATAGCTACCCTCCTAAGTGCAGCCCAGTTTTGGGGAAATAACCATATGTAGGCCGTTTAGGGCTAGGTGATGGTGAGTTGTGATGGCGGAGTGGTGGCTACAGCTTCCAGAAGCTTATGCCCTGACCCTAAACCTTTGAACGATAAACCCAATCCGTAAACCGTTCAGGGTTCAGTGTTCAGAGTTTACCCTACAGCCCTAAACCCTAATCCCTAAACCCTAAACCCTAAACCCCAAAACCATGCTCAACGTGCAAAAACCCCAGACCATCCCATCCCAAGACCCTCAACCCGCAACCCCCTTCTTGACCTGCAAGATTACATGTTTTTGGGGTGTCCTAGGCGGACCTCTAGTTGGGGAAGTGCCCATAGAAGCCCTAAATACTCAACCCAAAACCTCAAAACCCTCCTAAACCCTCAAAACCCTTCAACCCCCCTAAACCCCCAACAACACGTAAACCCCCGAAAGCCCCGAAACCTTCGAATCCCCCGACAACCACCCGAAAACCCTACGCCCCAAAACGCTCCTAGATTCTTAAGCTAGTTACATGGTCCCTAATATGGGCCCTCAAAAGGGGCCCGTATGTACCGCTTCTATACCCTCTATATGTATATATATATATACAACCCAAGGGCCCATACTTCAGAGCCCTTTGAAGGAGGTAAGGGACCATATTAAGGTACCACATAACAACCCTTAGATGAACCCTAAACCCTAAACCCTAAACAACCCGAAACCCTAAACCCCAAACCCTAAACCCGAAACCCTAAACCCTAAACCCTAAACCCCAAACCCTAAACCCTGCCTTCCAGGTCCTCGAGGGCCCCTTCGAGGCCGCCCAGGCACAGCTGGCGCCCTTCGCCGCGGCGCGGCGGCCCCTGCAGGAGCTCATCCGCAACTCGGAAGGTTTAGGGTTTAGGGTTTAGGGTTTAGGGTTTAGGGTTTAGGGTTTAGGGTTTAGGGTTTAGGGTGTAGGGTGTAGGGTGTAGGGTGTAGGGTTTAAAGGGCAAAGCGTTTAGGGTGTAGGGTTTAGGGTCTCGGGTTTCGGGTTTCGGGTTTCGGGTTTGGTTTCACAGTGGAACGGTCCAGGGTTTGGGGTGTCGGGTTCCAAGCCTTAGCCCTGCAGTCTGCAGGTCCAGCCTCGTATGCCGCCGACCCAAAAACTTAAACCCGCAGCGCGTTCCCTCAGGCCTTTCACCGCAAGCCCACGAGGTATGAAGCCCCGCGGTTTCGGGTTTAGGGTTTAGGGTTTAGGGTTTAGGGTTTAGGGTTTAGGGTTGACCCCCAAGTAGCAAGGCAGTGGATTGAGTGTTTAGGGTTAGAGCCAACCACGACCACGAAACCCCAAAAATCCAAAATCGAAGCCCGAGGTGAGCTGGCAGACTGGTGCAAGAGTGAGCGGGGTAAGCCCTGCACGCGCCCTGATTGCATCTAGCCAAGGACTTCATGTTGTTATTGTAACTCAAAACGGGAACCGTAAACATCATTGCACCCTAAACCCTAAGGCCTAAACTCCAAACCCTAAAGCCTAAAGCCTAAACCCTGAACCCAATGCTGAACCCTTAAAGCGCTAAACCCGCCCCAAGCCCCAAACTCATCCAAGGATGTCATTGCGGAAGTCTGGCGTGTGTGGGGAACCCTATACACCCCAAATCTTAAACCCCAAGCCCCAAACCCTTAAAACTGAAACCCCAAGCCCCCAAACCCTTAAAACGGAAACCCCAAGCATCAAACCCTTGAAACTCAAACCCTAGACCATCAAGCTTAGTTCTGATCTCTGGGATCAAGGCTGTATGGACAGCCTACATCCCAGGGTCCCGAATTCCGCAGTCATGAGGGTAGAGCGTTTGGGGCTTGGTTTGCGGGGCCTTGGGGTTTTGCCCGGCTGCCGGGTACATAAGGCCCGAAAAGACGTACACTTTTAGCCAAGCAACGCATGAAGAAAGATGAAGAACTGGATAACTATATCATTCGGGGTTAGAGCCCGAATCAACATCTTGGCGCTCAGAACTTTCCTAAACTTGTGGTGCTGTGTTTAGTTGGCTTGTGAGCGGTTGGCCCTGTCAAAACCCCAAACCCTCAACCCCAAACCCCAAGCCCTAAACCCCAACCCCCCAAACCCTCAACCCCAAACCCTGAACCCCAAACCCCAAACCTTAACCCCAAACCCTAAACCCTAAACCCCAAACCCTAACCCCACCCCCTAAACCCTGAGGCCCACTGAAGCCACGGCACCTCGTAAACCAGCCGACACGTCTCTTTGCTGCAGATTCGGGTTCAGGGCATAGGGGCTTAGGGCTTCAAGCTTGGGGTTCAGGGTTTCGGGTTTCGGGTTTAGGGTTTAGGGGTTTTGGGTTTCGCGTTTAGGACCAACCCCCACTCCAGCCCACAGCCCTCCCCAAGCCCCCTCCGTATCGTGTGTATGCAGTAGGCGCTGATTGTATGCAGGAGGTGGGTGGGCGAAAGCCTAGGGCCTAGGGACCATGAGGATGAGGAGGCAAAGTCCCTGAACATTTTGCTGTGAGTCTGCGGGTTCCCCGTCGTCCTGCAAATCAGCGGGATCCTGAAGTTTCTTCTGCCGACCGGCTACAGCGAGGGCTCGAAATCTCTCTACAAGCCACTCCCAAGGAAGCAGTTTGCAGCCCCCTAAACCCTTCTATAAGGTTGCAGGTTCCCCCTCAACCTGGCCTGCAAATCTTTTGGCAACAGCTGGCCAGGGCCTCCAGGGAAGCTGTTTGCAGCTCCCTAAACCCTTCTTTATGTCGGCAGGTTCCCTTACACTCGGTTAGGCTTCTCCTGCAAGGAATTTCCAGGAAGAAGTTTGCAGCTCCTTAAACCGTTCCGCACGTCTGCAGGGTCCCCCGAAACCTTCCCTGCAGATATGCCTGCAGGCTCCAAAGGCGGCTCTGTTTCCCCAAATGTTTCAACCCTCAACCCTCAACCCTCAACCCTCAACCCTCAACCCTCAACCCTCAACCCTCAACCCTCAACCCTCAACCCTCAACCCTCAACCCTCAACCCTCAACCCTCAACCCTCAACCCTAAACCCTACCCTTAGGGATGTAGTCTTGGGGCTTCTGCTTCGTGCCACGATCAGGAAGCAGCTGCAGCGAGCGGCAAAGATCCGTGCGGCAGCGGCTCCGACGCATTCATAGGCTCAGCCGCTCGAAATTTCGACTGCAGTATGCCCTGAACTCTTAACCCTAGACCCCAAACCCTAGACCCTAGACCCTATAAACCCTAAACCCTAAACCCTAAACGTTTAGATCCTAAGCCTCTGCAGGTAGTTGTTGGGGAAGTAAGAAAAAGCGCAGTGGAGAGTCCAGCAGAGCCATTGCCCCTTCAATGCTGGCTCCATGTTACTGGTACCAAAATCCAAAACTGGGGGGAGCCCAAGTATCGAAACCCCAGGGTTAGGGTAGGGTGTAGGGTTTGGGGCATAGGGTTTAGGGTTTAGGGTTAGGGTCGGGGTTTGGTTGGGGCCCCTCTTCCTGTTTGTGGTTCCTCACAAGCCTCCTTGAACAAAACGGGGGTACCCTCTTTGTATTCCAGAGCCGCAGTGCATTCCTCATTGTCCAGACCCAGACCTCTCATCCAAACCTCCCTTATCCCTTACATATACACAGGACCGCGCAAAAGGAAGGGCAATATAGCTGAGCTCCTTAAACTCTAAACCCTAGCCCCTAAACCCTAAAGTCAAAGCCCTAAACCCTATTTGGCCTCTGGTCTACATATCGAGCCCTGTCACCCTAGGCCCTAAATCTTAAACCCAAACCCCTAAACCCAAAACCCTGAACCCAATTTGGCTTCGCGTCTACATATGAGGAGCCAGATATTGGCGCGTGTTGATATTGGTTGTTCTTTGCTCCTCATAGGGCAAGGTTTAGGGTTTAGGGTTAAGTGTAGTTCTCTAAGTTAGGGTCCCTTAGTTTGGGTGCCGTATTGAATAGGGACCCAAACAGGGACCGTAGTTGCAGAGAACTCCCCACATTCGGACCCCTACTTGCTTAAGGCACCTACTATGGCACGGGCCCTAAACCCTAAACCCTATACCCTAAACCCTAACCCTAAACCCTAAACCCTAAACCCTAAACCCTAAACCCTAAACCCTAAACCCTAAACCCTAAACCCTAAACCCTAAACCCTAAACCCTAAACCCTAAACCCTAAACCCTAAACCCTAAACCCTAAACCCACATGATTGAGAAACAGGCCCCATCCAGATTGGTATTTCCAAACATAGGGGTGAACCAAAAGGTAGTTCCAACTACCCTAAACCCAAAACCCTAAACCCCAAACCCTAAACCCCAAACCCCAAACCCTAAACCCTAAACCCTGAACCCTAAACCCGAAACCCCACTGTAAACTCAAAACCCCTGATAAACCTTTATCTTTACAACGAAGAAGAAGACACAGACCCCTTTCTAGGGTTTAGCGTTTAGGGTTTCGGGTTGAGAGGCTTTTGGCCTTAGGCTTTAGGAAGCCCTTACTAAACCCTTATAAACCTCTATCTTTACAATGAAGAAGAAGACACTGGCCCTTCTCTAGGGTTTAGGCTTTAGGGTTTAGGGTTTAGGAAGCCCTTGCTAAACCCTTCCAAAACCTCGAAGTAGGTTGAGCATCTCGTGGCGCCCTACAACCTGGAAAGCTGCCGGCCGAAGCTGAGTTCGAGGGTGGTCGGGTTCAGGGATTTCGCGGACTTCGGGGACTTGGGGTTTAGGGTTTAGGGTTTAGGGTTTAGGGGTTTAGGGTTTAGGGTTTAGGGGTTTAGGGGTTTAGGGGTTTTAGGGGTTTTAGGGGTTTAGGGGTTCAGGGGTTTAGGGGTTTAGGGGTTTAGGGGTTTAGGGGTTTAGGGGTTTAGGGGTTTGGGGGTTTAGGGGTTTAGGGGTTTAGGGTGGCTTGGTTGACTTACGGTTTAGGGTCAGGGTTGAGGGCCCTAGAAACCTTCGGGTTCTGGGGTTCAGTGCTCAGAGCCCTACAGGTTTGGGAGGCTTCGGGTTCTAGGGTTTTAGGGTTTAGGGTTTAGGGTTGGAGTTTGAAGCCCTATATGACCCCGGTACAACCCCTATATAGTCCCTATATACCTATAAGTAGCCCCTCCCCCCAAAAAAGACACAAATGACCCTTAAGGTCTCTTATAAGGGCCCCTCCTTTAGTCCCTTGATTGAAGGTTTCATGTATGGGTTGTGGCCGATGCATGCACAGCTCGGGGCTTCGGAGTTGTACAGGGGTTTATGAGGGTTTGAGTTTGGCGTTGGGAACGTGAATGATGAGAGCTTTGTGGTTACCCCTGTTTATAGCCCCCGATACAGCCGTGATTAGTGATCATGTGCTAGTCACATGATCGCTAATCACAGCTGTCTCACCGGCAATGTAAATTAATGCATTTTTAGAGGTAACTGGCGTGCCGGGTTACCGCGCCACTCTCTTTCGTGAATTCTGGAGTGGATTTCAGAACCCAAAACCCTAAACCCTAAACCCTAAACCCCAAACCCCAAACCCTAAACCCTAAACCCTAAACCCCTAAACCCCAAACCCTACACCCTAAACCCCAAACTCGAAACCCTTCACAGCCTGAGGAACGGCTCCACCGTGACGACCTGCGTTTGGGTCCCGACTGCGACAGGCTTGCGGCCGGCCCCTTTGTGGCGTCTATTGTGTTATATTATGTTATATTATGTTATACCATATTGTACTATATTTTATTACACTATATTATACTATGTTATATTATGTTATACCATATTATACTATATTATATTACACTATATTATACTATATTGTATAATATTAGACTATATTATGTTATATTATACCATATTATACTATCTTATATACTATCATATCATGTTCTATTATGTTATACTATATTATACTATATCATATTATAATATACCATATTATACTATATTATATAATATTATACTACATGTTTTCCTCGCCTCCTCCCTTTGTTTGTTGTTGGTTGATATGGTTATTTGGTTTAGGGCTTTAGGGTTTAGGCTTTAGGGTTTGTGGTGTTTAGGGTTCGCAGGGATCAGGGCCCACAGGGCAGCTTCCATCACCTCCTCTCTCTGTTCGTGGGTGGTTGATAGGGTTTAGGATTTAGGGGTTTAGGGTTTGTGGGGTTTAGGGTTTATAGGGATTAGGGCTTATAGGGTGGTTGAAGCAATTGCTCAAGGGTTTTGCGGCATTGTCGGGACGGAAGGCCACGGTCCTAAACTCAAAAACAGTCAAAACTGGCTACACGCCGCAACCCTAAAGCTTCAACTCTAAACTCTCTTAGCCAACACATCCCGCAACCCCAAGCTCTCAAATCCAACGCTCCACCCTGTAGAAATAGAATCCCTCGCCCCACTCCCTCCACGGGCCCAAGCACCATGAGGTAAGTCGAAGCCCTGAACCCCTTGCGCCCTCTGCTGACTATCTAGAATCATGCTTCGGATAGAACCATGATAAGCCCTGTGTCGCTGGTACATACAGATATATGCATATATATATATAGAAATACAATCATTTTTTATGTATACATCTACTTATTTATTTATTTATATATTTATTTATTTATTCATTTGTTTACATGTACATATTTATTTGTTTACAGGTACATCTCCACACACACACACACATATGTGGATATTTACATGTCAGAGGGAAACGGTACAGCAATTCTTGTAGAATTCAATGTACATCCTGAAGCCGAAGCCCAGGACCCCGAAACGCCAAAACCCAAGACCCTAACCCTACGCCCCAATCAAAGCCCTAAACCCCCAAACTGAAAGCCCAACAGCCCACAACCCGCAACCCCAAAACCCTAGCCCCATGTTGCTTGGTCGTAGTTGGGTATCATTTTTCATGTTTAAAGGTACTTAAACCCTAAACCCTAAACCCAAAAAACCCGAAAAAACCCTAAACCCTAAACCCTAAACCCTAAACCCTAAACCCTAAACCCTAAACCCTAAACCCTAAACCCTAAACCCTAACCCTAAACCCTAAACCCTAAACCCCTAAACCCCTAAACCCTAAACCCTAAACCCTGAACCCTAAACCCTTTGATCTAGTTTGTCTCTCGCGGTCTGCACGCCAAGGCCTGGCCACCCTCGTACTTCTGTGGGGCCCCGCAGTTGCGCAAGATGAACACGACTCAAGAGGCGTCTTGGGAGGGTTGGGGTTTGGGTGGGGTTTGGGGTTTAGGGTTTAGTAGGGTTTAGGGTGTAGGGTTCAGGGTTTAGGGTTTAGGGTTTAGGGTTTAGGGCTTAGGGTTTAGGGTTATAGGGTTTAGGGTGGGTTTAGGGTTTAGGGCTTCGGGCTTAGGGTTTAGGGATCAGGGTTTGCCTCGACCAGGCTCGAAGTCATAGAACGCCAACAGACACTCTAGACCCCTAAACCCTAAACCCTAAACCCTAAACCCTAAACCCTAAACCCTAAACCCTAAACCCTAAACCCTAAACCCTAAACCCCATTGAGAGGCTTGCGGGTTTTAGGGTTTAGGGTTTTGGATTTAGGGCTTAGGGTCGAAGGGGTTTAGGGATCAGGGTCTAGGCTACGCATCCCGGGCCTTAATGCCTGCACCCGCGCAGGACGTCCTGGCCGCCGCGCGCGAAAGCAGCGCGTCGGAGGGCCCGCTCCAAGATGGGGACCGGAATGTTCAGGCTGTTTAGGTTTAGGTTTCTTTGCTAAATTTTAGACATGTAATTAATCACATTCCGGCCAGTTTTATATCAGCTAAGTGAATTAAAGTAACTAAGTGAATTAAATTCGAAACTCCGCCTTTGCGAGCTTGATTCATTCAATGGGTTTTGGGTTCAAATTTGTGCTTTAGGGTTTAGGGCTGTTTAGCTTGGGGAGTTGAATTCCCGAAAAAACACAAGTGGTTCCAATGTTCACAGTAGGGTTTAAGGTTGAGGGCTTCGTGTTTAGGGTCTGGGGAGTCTTGTTCTCCAATATTATCCGTGTATACTTCCTTGCTGCTTAGAACAAGGAATACCCCGGTTATCCAGTTTCGTCCGGCCGCATATTCGAGGTTCTTGGTTTCGAGGTGTGGGGTGTTTAGGGTTTAGGGTTTAGGGTTTCGGGTTGAGGGTTCAGGGTTTAGGGGTTCATGCCTATGGGCTGAAGTGCTTAGCATTGCCGGAATCGATCCTTGTGCTTCCATTGAGTCGGAATATTCGACACCAGCCTGACCGTAAGCCCTAAACCTCTAAAACTCTAAACCCTGCAGCCCTAGCCCTAAACCCTAAACCCTAAACCCTAAACCCTGAACCCTAGCCCTGAACCCTGAACCCTGAACCCTGAACCCTAAACCCTAAACCCTAAACCCTAAACCCTAAACCCTAAACCCTAAACCCTAAACCCCAAACCCCAAACCCGAAACCCGAAACCCGAAACCCTAAACCCTAAACCCTAAACCCTAAACCCTAAACCCTAAACCCTAAACCCTTGAGAGGACAAGGGCGTGCGCATCGAGGCGGGGTCGCGTTGCTGTGGGTCCTTCGGAGTTGACCTCGTCCCAACAGGGCTTAGGGTTTAAGGTTTCGGGTTTGGGGTTTTTTTGGGTTTAGGGTTTAGGGTTTAGGGTTTCGTCGCGACAGGTGATCGAATCCTCGGAGCACCCCGGTCCCTTCGTTGGGCCGGTGGACCCGCTGCCGGAGCCCTGCCGAGTGAAGCTGAAGTGCCCAAATCTCTGAAGTAACGAAGCTTAGGGTTTAGGGTTTAGGGTTTAGGGTTTAGGGCTTAGGGTTTAGGGTTTAGGGTTTAGGGTTGAGAGTTGACGGTTTAGGGTTTAGGGCTAAGGGTTTAGGGCTTAGAGTTCAGTGAAATATTTAATCCGGGCCTTAGGGCAACTTAAAAGGTCGGTGGGTTTTTGTCGATGCATTTCCGGCTGTAAAGAGTATGGGCATGGGGACCCTAAACCCTAAACCCTAAACCCTAAACCCTAAACCCTAAACCCTAAACCCTAAACCCTAAACCCTAAACCCTAAACCCTAAACCCTAAACCCTAAACCCTAAGCCCTAAGCCCTAAACCCTAAACCCTAAACACGAAACCCTAAACCCTAAACCCTAAACCCTCAAACCGAACTCGAACTCAAACTCAAACTCGCACGTTGTGCGCCGCCGTGGCTGGACGGGACAGCCAAGCTTTCACGGCAGTCGCTGAGAAAAAGGGATCTGCCAAGTATGCTCGGCTCAGCCTGTGAACCTAATGGGTTTAGGGTTTAGGGTTAAGGGTTTAGGGTTTAGGGTTTAGGGTAGACCCGAAACCCTCAAAACTTAACCGTGACCTAATCCTACACCCTCAACTCTGCACCTTCATCTCTCAAACAAAAATCTTCAATCCCGCAAGCGAGACACCCTGTACCCCCCAAACTCCTGCAATTCCTTACTAGACCATCATCAAGACTGTACCCACAAGAAAGCCATCCACACCCGCCAGGATTCAACTCAAGAATCTCACAAACCCTCAATACCTAAATCAAAGCCCTAAACCCTAAACCCCAAACCCTAAACCCTTTTAGGGTGAAGCCAGCAAAGCAACAGGGCCACCGACGCGACATCCGCGACCCCGCCCGGGGCTTGAAGAACGATGGGATGGGACAGCCTGAACCCAACTTCAACCCTGAATCCTAAACCCTAAACCCTAAAACCCCCTAAATCTTAGACCCCAAACCCTAAACCCGAGTTCAAACCCTAAATCCTAAACCCTGCTTATGTTTTGCTTGTTCAGTTTTCGATCGTCGGAGTCGTAGTAGTGGAGCAGAGAATGATTCTAAAATCCCCCCCCCCCCCGCCCCCCTCGTTTCTTGTTTGCGCTTCTTGTGTTTCGTTTATAGGGTTCTTAAGGGAGAGGGGTTCAAGGGGGCTATGTAACCCAAGCTTCCCTAATACTCCCTACTAGTCCCTACGGCTCCCTAAGCTTCCTTAAGGTTCCCTAGGTACCTAGCCCCCTTCCCTCCTTTAAGAACCCTCTTAAGAGCCCTATACCATTAAAATAACCCTAAACCCTAAACCCTAAACCCTAAACCCTAAACCCTAAACCCTAAACCCTAAACCCTAAACCCTTTTAATTCTTTGTTCTAGCGGTGCCTGTGCTTTGCAGATCTAAGGCGACAACAGTACACGACAGGAGGGCAGGTAAAGCCCCTGCACAGTTCTATGGTGGCCGGTTTAGGGTTTAGGGTTTAGGGTTTAGGGTTTAGGGTTTAGGGTTTAGGGTTTAGGGTTTAGGGTTTAGGGTTCAGGTCTTCATTGATTTCTCGAAGGCATTTGACCATATGCCACACACCAAGCTTCTTCAAACACTTGCGGAGGTTGGAGCACCATCGTCAGAAGTTGAGCTGGTCATGCAATGGCACATTGATGCGGTCTACATGATGAACGGCGAGAAATCTAACAAGTGTATTCCTTGTTCCAGAGGGGTGAGACAAGGATGCAAAGCAGCTCCAACCTTGTGGCTAGTCTTCTCCACTCTATGCTGCAAGTTGGTTGATAAGCAACTCGGAACAGGCTGGTGTGCAAAGCACTTGACGATTTATGCTGATGATCATCATGCCTCTTTCATGTTGAGATCTGTGATGGAACTGGAAGCTTCTGTCAAGGCGATTGGAACCTTATACAATGTGCTGGCAAAGATGGGCATGGAGGTCTCTGCCAAGAAGTCAGAATGTATCTTCACCCCTATAGGGTACCTCATTCCCTCATTCCGTACTCAGATCCAGCCAGTGAAGCCGTTATCCCACAACCCTAACCCCTAAACCCTAAACACTAAACCCTAAATCCTAAACCCCCGAAACCCTAAACCCTAACCCCTAAACTCTAAGCCCTAAGCCCTAAGCCCTCTGCCCTCTAAGCCCTAAGCCCTAAGCCCTAAGCCTAAACCCTCAGCCCTAAACACCAATCGGCCCCCGATGCAAGGAGGAGTTCGGCCCTGCACCGCAGCTGACTGCCATGGATTTGTCCAAGGATCCGAATGTCAGCGTTTTACGGTGTAAGGTTTTTTTGGTATAGGATTTACGGTTAGGGCTTAGGGTTAAGGGCTTAGGGTCAAGGGTTTAGGGTTTAGGGTTTAGGGTTTAGGGTTTAGGGTTTAGGGTGTGGGGGGGGGGGCGGTGTGGGCTGAAGAGGCCTCAAGTCCCCAAAAGCCTCAATGCTTTGACTTCCCCCCCGTAGTATGCAATGGCGAACAGAACAATCGCTTGTACAAATAAGAAGGGTTTAGGGTTTAGGGTTTAGGGTTTAGGGTTTAGGGTTTACGAAAATAAGGGGCCCCCTAACAAAGTCCTCCAGATAGTAGGATCCCCTGATAAGAAGGAGCCCAACAAGGTAACCCTAATTTCGGAAACTTCTATATATGTATATACACAGAGATAAATTTACATGTATGCGTAGGCAGAAGCAGCAGCATGGGTACAAGTATAGATACAGATATGATGATCCACGTGCACATGTTGCACATATAGGGTTTGCACTTGTGCTTTCTTGTTCGGCTGCATGCTTGGAAATGCAGCTGGGTCCAAAACCTAAACCCCAAACCCTAAACCCTAAACCCTAAACCCTAAACCCTAAACCCTAAACCCTAAACCCTAAACCCTAAACCCTAAACCCTAAACCCTAAACCCTAAACCCTAAACCCTAAACCTTACACCCTATGTAAACCCTAAATCCAAACCCCAAACCCCAAACCCCAAACACTAAGCCCTAAGCCCTAAACCCTAAACCCCAAACCCCAAACCCCAAACCCCAAACCCCAAACCCCAAACCCCAAACCCCAAACCCTAAACCCTAAACCCTAAACCCTAAACCCTAAACCCTAAACCCTAAACCCTAAACCCTAAACCTCTCTATCACATATATATTCAAACCCTATAGTCCTTCGTGGCTAAGGGTCATTTCTTCGTGGCTAAGGGTCATTTCTTCGCTAAGGGCCATTCTTCGTCACTAAGGGCAATTTCTTGGTCGCTAAGGGCCATTTCCTGGGTGCTAAGGGCCATTTCTTCGTGGCTAAGGGTCATTTCTTCGTGGCTAAGGGTCATTTCCTTCGTGGCTAAGGGTCATTTCCTTCGTGGCTAAGGGTCATTTCTTCGTGGCTAAGGGTAATTTCTTCGTGGCTAAGGGGGTAATTTCTTCGTAGCTAAGGGTAACTTCTTCGTGGCTAAGGGTAATTTCTTCGTGGCTAAGGGCAATTTCTTCGTGGCTAAGGGTAATTTCCTTCGTGGCTAAGGTCATTTCTTCGTGGCCCCCCACCCCCCCACCCCCACCCCCCACCCCCACCCCCCCACCCCCACCCCCACCCCCCCCCACCCCCCCCACCCCCCCACCCCCCCCCCCCCCACCCCCCACCCCCCCACCCCCCCAACCCCCCCACCCCCCCACCCCCCCACCCCCACCCCCACCCCCCCACCGCACCCCCCCACCGCACCCCCCCCCCACCCCCCCCCCACCCCCACCCCCCCACCCCCACCCCCCAACCTCCCCCACCCCCCCACCCCCACCACCCCCACCCCACCCCCACCCCCCCCACCGCCACCCCCAACCCTTTTTCTTGTAGTGCTCATCTTTGTCTGACGCAATGCGGATTTTTAAGAACGAATTTGGTTCTATAGCCGTAGCTTCGTTGAAAAGAACTTTTGTATGAAGATACTTTATATGGTTTCTTAATGTTATGGGATTCTCTGGGTGGGTGGGTGTTACATCCAAGCCGTAAATAACACTACCACAAAATTGCTCGATCCGGAGCTGCTGAACCCTAAACCCTAAACCCTAAACCCCAAACCCCAAACCCTAAACCCTAAACCCTAAACCCTAAACCCCAAACCCCAAACCCTAAACCCTAAACCCTAAACCCTAAACCCTAAACCCTAAACCCTAAACCCTAAACCCTAAACCCTAAACCCTAAACCCTAAACCCTAAACCGCAGCTCACACCTTAGCAGCCCAAAGCCTGCCGAAGGAGCTCGTCAAGGCTGTGGTGGACGACTTCGTGGGCTTGAAGATCCAGTACCTGATCTCTAATGCACCTTGGTTTAGGGTGTTTAGGGTTTAGGGTTTAGGGTTTGGGGTTTAGGGTTTGGGGTTTGGGGTTTAGGGTTTAGGGTTTAGGGTTTGGGGTTTAGGGTTTAGGGTTTGTTGCGGTGCTTGGTACGGGTCCTGGGGGAAGATTCTTATCTTCGCTTGGTCCCTTACCTCCCTTAAAAGGCTTCTGATGCGTGGGCCCTTAGTGTGTATAGTGTATATAAGGGTTTAGGGGTTTAGGGTTTAGGGTTTAAGACCCTAAACTTTGAGCACAGGGTCCGTGAGGGTTCGGGCGTTAGGGCTTCTATCGGTTTAGGGTTTGAGGGAATTAGGGGTTTCAGGGTACTAGGTTTTTGGGGTTTTAGGGTTTTTTCGGGGTTTCAGGGCTTTAGGGATTTAGGGTTTGGCTTTTCGGGTTTACCGTAAACCCTACACCCTCAACCCTAAATCCTAAACCCTAAATCACCCTAAACCCTAAACCCGAAAAAGGGTTTAGGGTTTAGGGCTTGTATATAAGGATCTAGGTTCCACGTGCGGTTCCACGAGCCAGGTGCCCATGTACTTGGACTGGCTGGTGGAGCACCTGGGCCTTCGAGTTCATTTTGAAGTTTAGGGCTTAGGTTTAGGGTTTAGGGTTTAGGGTTTAGGGTTTAGGGTTTAGGGTTTGGGGTTTGGGGTTTGGGGTTTGGGGTTTGGGGTTTGGGGTTTGGGGTTCAGGGTTTCAGGGTTTCAGGGGGGCTGCAGCTTGGCTTATAAAAAGAGAGGTCTTGAGCACCACAGTACCATACAGCACGAGCAATGTTCGGAGTCGCGAGAACGCAGTTCTAGGAGCCCTAAACGCTAAACCCTAAACCCTAAACCCTAAACCCTAAACCCTAAACCCTAAACCCTAAACCCTAAACCCTAAACCCTAGACCCTAAACCCTAAACTCTAAACCCTTAATTAACTTCAATTAACTTACTAGTCCTTAGTACTGAAGGGAAGCAGAGACCTGATGTCCCCCCTAAACCCTAAACCCTAAACCCTAAACCCTAAACCCTAAACCCTAAACCCTAAACCCTAAACCCTAAACCCTAAACCCTATACCCTAACCCTAAACCCTACGAAGTATGATGTTTGGGTACCTAATTCCATAACAGTACTACTAATGGACCCTCTGGGAGCCGTATGACACGCCAACGGAAGCGTAGGCAGCTCACGCTAAGGGGTATCCCTGGAAGGGACCCTTAATCTTATTCCCGTATGGTTTTAGGGTTTAGGGTTTAGGGTTTAGGGTTTAGGGTTTAGGGTTTAGGGTTTAGGGTTTAGGGTTTAGGGATATAACGCCGGTACATACCTTATACAGTCCCTATATACCGAAGTAGACCCTAAAGAACCCCGAAAAAAAACGCTAAGGTCCCTTATCAGGGTCCTTCCTTTGGTCCCTTTAGGGTTTAGGGTTTAGGGTTTACTGTAGGCTTTAGGGTTTAGGTTTAGGGTTTAGGGTTTAGGGTTTAGGGTTTGGGTTTAGGCTTTAGGGTTTAGGGTTCGCCTCGGTCAAGTCAACAAGGCCTCAGTTCCCAACATCTTTCCCCCAAAGAAACCCTAAACCCTAAACCCTAAACCCCAAACCCCCTAAAACCCTGGCCTTGGACCAGCAAAGGTATTTGAGCTACGACCTGCTTCCGAGGTACCAACAGGAGCATCTTCTTGCTGTTGGTTAGTAGGAAATGAGGGAATGAGGTACCCCTTTTGAAGGGTATTGGGGTTGAGGGTTTAGGGTATTTATAGGGGGATATGGAGTTCAAAATTCCCTGCCCTACTAACCAACAGTAAGTCTTAGGGCCCTCTATGCAGGGTTTAGGCGGTGTAAGGTCTAGGGTTTGAGGGTTTCGAGGCATAAACAGTTTCTTCGGAGCTTTCCTACCCAAGGCTTCACAAAAAGCAGCCTGGGTGAGGAACCGAACCTAATTTGGCTGTTAGGATCGGTCTTTTCGGAGATGGTTCCTCGGAACACCTTGGGATGTTTTCCCTTATACGAACAGTCCTTAATCGGGGTTATGGTAACCCCCTACTTTCATCCCGATGATGGACTGTTGGTATAAGGGGGAACATCCCAAGAAACACCCTTGGACACAAAGGGTTTAGGGTATAGGCTTGTTTGTGGTAGGCTACTGGGCAGCCTGGCTTCATGAAGTGGGGAATCGTCCTCAACCTAGGTCGGAATATTCTTGCAAAATTCAAGAGAGTCTCAGAGTATACCTGAAACCAAACGAAGGCATGATTGAGTTTAGGGCTTCGTGCTTGAGGCTTGAGGGTTCCGCTGTTCAGGGGTCCCACAGCGCCGGCTAGGCTAGAAGTGCAACTAAGCCCTAGGTAGCCCCTTGGGACATTTCACACTTCCCCTTCCTGGGTTTAAGAGGATCATGTTTGGGAAAATGTTTTCTGAGGGTTTTCGTGCCGTGGCATCCCAGAGCCACTCAGAGCGCCATGCGGCCGATGTTTCTCGGGGCTCCCAGGCGACACCAAGCGGCGCACATGAGCAGTGATGAACTTGGAGATTTTGCATCCGCATCCTCCGGCCTTGGACATAATATGTTCTAGAACCCCTCCCCTCACCACACGTCCACGATGCGCATGAAGAAAGGCTTTCAGGCAGAGGAGACCAATCCCAGAGGATGTTGGGACTTTCCCCGAACAAAAAAGAACAGGCGCAGGCCTTTTTTCTTCGCCATGGCTCAGCGATTTTGGAGCCGGCTGGGTTTGGGTGCCGCCAAGGCCACCCACCTGTGCATCGGAAAGGATCAGGGTTCAAGGGTTGAGGGTTTTTAGGGTTTAGGGTTTTTAGGGTTTAGGGTTTTTAGGGTTTAGGGTTTTTAGGGTTTAGGGTTTTTAGGGTTTAGGGTTTAGGGTTTAGGGTTTAGGGTTTAGGGTTGAAAAGTTCAGGGCCTAGGGTTTTAAGGGCTTAGGGCTTACGCGGGTGCCGAGCTTCGGCTTTGAAGATTTCTGGCTGGTTCTTAGTACGGAATGAGGGAATGAGGTACCCTACATAATCCTTTAAAGGGTAAATAAATACATATATATATATATACATACATATATATATATATACATACATATATATATATATATATATACATATGTGTATATATATATATATATTTTTTTTTATAGTGCCCTAATTCCCTCATTCGCCTACTAAGGACCAGGGGGTTTAGGGCTTCCCCAGGTTTGGCGGTTTATACAGCTTTCGAGTTTAGGGTTTGAGGGTTAGGGTGAAGACCGAAGTCGGAGCAAAAGCGCCCCCCGAGCCCTAGAAGCCTCCGAACAGAGCCCTATACCCTAAACCCTAAACCCTAAACCCTAAACTAAACCCTAAACCCTAAACCCTAAACCCTAAACCCTAAACCCCAAACCCTAAACCCCCAGGCCCAAACCTAAACCTGCGGCCCGGGTCCTGTTCCCAGCAGTGCCCCAAACCCTAAACCCTACATCCAAAAACCCCAAATGGACTTGTGCCTATGTCTCGGAGGGCTTACAAGGACCAACCGGGTGAGACGCCACCCTAAACCCTAAACCCTAAACCCTAAACCCTAAACCCTAAACCCTAAACCCTAAACCCTAAACCCTAAACCCTAAACCCTAAACCCTAAACCCTAAACCCTAAACCCTAAGCCCGAAACCCTTAAACCCTAAACCCTAAACCCTAAACCCTAAAACCTAAACCCGTAGAAACCCTGGGAGGCCACGATGAGAAGAGTCGGCACGGGAGCATTGCTGGGAACAGGACCCGGGCCGCAGGGTTTAGGTTTGTGCTTTGGGGTTTAGGGTTTGGGGTTTAGGGTTTAGGGTTTGGGGTTTAGGGTTTAGGGTTTAGGGTTTAGGGTTTGGGGTTTGGGGTTTAGGGTTTAGGGTTTAGGGTTTGGGGTTTGGGGTTTGGGGTTTGGGGTTTAGGGTTTAGGGTTTAGGGTTTAGGGTTTGGGGTTTAGGGTTTAGGGTTTGGTTAGGGGAAGCAGAAGGAATTGTTCTCTAATGTCTGGTGCACTTGAACAGCCCCCCCCCAAGCGGCAGGCGCAAGCCAACCTGAAGGTTGACTGAGGGTCTTTAGCTGTAGGCTTTGGCGCGTCAGGGTCCCTAAACCGTAAACCCTAAACCCTAAACCCTGAACCCTAAACCCTAAACCCTAAACCCTGAACCCTGAACCCTGAACCCTAAACCCTAAACCCTAGGCCCTTGTAGGTTTTAGCGTGTCAGGGTTTTTCGTTTTCAGGCTTTCGGATTGGTAGGCTCCAGGGCTGCAAAGTTGCCCTGGGCACCAAACCCTCAGGCCCTCAACCTAAACCCTAAGCCCGAAGCCCTAAGCCCTAAGCCCTAAGCCCTAAGCCCTAAGCCCTAAGCCCTAAGCCTTAAGCCCTAAGCCCTAAGCCCTAAGCCCTAAGCCCTAAGCCCTAAGCCCTAAGCCCTAAACCCTAAACCCTAAACCCTAAACGCGCGAACGGGTAAGGGGAGCCTGGCTCAGACGGATCCAGTGTTTAAATGGCCTTCTACGGGAAGACACTACTTGGAGGTTCAGGGTACTTATAACCCCTATGATAACCGTACTAATAAAGCTCCTCAGTCCCCTAAGTAGGTTCTCAGTAGACTTATAATGGGGGTTATACGTACCCACGAACCTCCAAGTGGCTCATTGGTCCACGTTACGTTGGATCCCTACACCCTAACCCTGTAGGGTTTAGGGTTTGGAGTTTAGGGTTTAGGGCTAGGGTTTAGTGTTTAGGGTTTAGGGTTTGGGGTTTGGGGTTTGGGGTTTCGGGTTTAGGGTTCGGGGTCCCGAAACCAAACCTCCGAAACCCCAAACCCCCCAAGCCACAACTTACCTCAGTCAGGCGCGGCCGCCACAAGCTACCTTTGCGCGAGCCGGCGCGGCCCCTTGCATCTTGCGCCCCGCTGCAGGTTTAGGGTTTAGGGTTTAGGGTTTAGGGTTTAGGGTTTAGGGTTTAGGGTTTAGGGCTTAGAGTTTAGGCCCTTGCATCTTGCGCCCTGCTGCAATCGTCTTTCGGGGGTTGGAGGTTGCTGGAGTGGACGCCGCCCATGAACTCTGGACCCACAGCCCCAAAACCTAAAGCCATGCAACAACCCTACAAGCCCTGTAGAAACCCTCTAAACATACAAGCCCAATGAACCATGTGCACCCTAGAAGCCCCACAGGAACCTTACGATCCCCATAAGCCCCCTGGAAAACCCTAAAGCCCTAAAGGTGTTAACCCTACAAAGCCCTTTGCACCCTGTATGCCCTCTACCCCAAGCCTCTAAACCCTAAACCCTAAACCCTAAGCCCTAAGCCCTAAACCCTCAACCCTAAACCCTAAACCCTAAACCCTAAACCCTAAACCCTAAACCCTAAACCCTGGACTTTGGACCCAGAACTCGTCCTTTGCGCCGAGGAGAGCTCCGCGGGGCTGGAAGAGCGTGTGCGTCCTCCGGCTGACACTGGACTAGGTCTTGGCGAGTTGAAGCCTAACCCTAGCCCTAAACCCTAAACCCTAAACCCTAAACCCTAAACCCTAAACCCTAAACCCTAAACCCTAAACCCTAAACCCTAAACCCTAAAGGCCTCCTGGAGACCAAGCTCCGCTCCCTCGAGCTCAGCGACCAAGAGGAGATGCGGGCCACTGGGCTGGCTTAGTAGCTGAGTGAGTACACTTTACACTTTTTGGGGTGTTTAAGGTTTAGGGTTTAGGGTTTAGGGTTTTAGGGTTTTAGGGTTTTAGGGTTTAGGGTTTAGGGTTTAGGGTTTAGGGTTTAGATTCTAGAATCCCCTATAGAACTGAAAGTGTACACTTTTTTGGGGGCTTATGAACTCAGCAACTAAGCTGGTGAGTTCAATGACTTAGTAGCTGAAAGGCTACACGTTACACTTTTTGGGGTCTAGGGTCTAGGGTTCAGGGTTTAGGTTGAGGGTTGAGGGTTGAGGGTTGAGGGTTGAGGGTTGAGGGTTGAGGGTTAATCGGCTAGAAGCTGAAAGTGTACACTTTTTTTTGGGCTTATGAACTCGCAATCAACATAAACCGTAAACCCTAAACTGGCGAGAGCACCGCTGCGCAGAAACGTGGGTGCTCGAGCCTCTTGGACAGGGCTTGCGCCTGGCAAACCTACGGGCCTGGGAGGGTTTTAGTGTTTAGGGTTTAGGGTTTGGGGGTTTAGGGTTTAGGGTTTAGGGTTCAGGGTTTAGGGTTTAGGGTTCAGGGTTTTCTGAGACCCCTGGAACCCTTCTGCCGGCTAAGACTACCCTAAGATCCCCTTGGACACACTGGACTGTGCTTAAAGATGTGGGGACCCTCTGTGGGTCCCAAACAAACATGCCTCAAGGCCCCATATAAGCTTTCGGAATAGCAGCTCGCTAGAATAAGAACAAGGTTGGGGGGTGGGGACCCTAAACCCCACAATTTAATAGTTCGGGTGGGAGATGGGGCTGCCAAGCTATGCAAGCGCACGTGTGCCCCGAAATCTAAAGAACAGACTCACCGCGTGCGTGCTCTGATGCACACCCTAAACCCTAAACCCTAAACCCTAAGCCCTAAGCCCTAAGCCCTAAACCCTAAACCCTAAACCCTAAACCCTAAACCCTAAACCCTAAACCCTAAACCCTAAACCCTAAACCCTAAACCTTAAACCCTAAACCCTAAACCCTAAACCCTAAACCCTAGCGCGGCCTTTTTGGAGTTGAGCATCTGAGGCTGTGGCAACACTCAAAATGGCTGCGGCCCAGCATGGTCTCGATATTGCCGGCGGCGGCTAGCCCAGTTTAGCATGTAGTTGTTTCTGAACTTGGGTTTAGGGTTTTAGGGTTTAGGGTTTAGGGTTTAGGGTTTAGGGTTTGGGTTTAGGAAATAGGGGTTGGGGTTTAGGGTTTAGGGTTTCGGGTTAGGGATTAGGGCTTGGGGTTTCGGGAGTAGGGGTTTTGGATCTATAGCTTAGGGTTTAGCGTTTTGGGGGGCAATGCCAGTTCTGGCAGGGCCAGGGACTTGACACCACCCGATGGCGACCGCTTGGGTGCTCGAAGGCATCCGACGCGGCTCCGTGTGGAACTGGGTGGCGAGGCTCTTCGACCCACCTGACTTCCAGTAGATCCGATGATCTGCAGGGCACATCCTTGGAGACCATGGTGCTGTCAGATCAAGGCTTGCGAGGATATTTTGATCGCACCAAGACGAGTGGCGCTGTGTTCCGGGTTCATCGGTGTGAGGATCAGAAACTGCTTTCCTGCTTGTGCCCCTCAGGATTGGTGCGCAATTCATCAGAGCAACTTTCGGGTGCATTTCCCATGGAGCTTCCAACAACTGCGCCCTCTTCTGGCAAGACTTCTGAGATTTATTCCCGCCTTTGTTGCCTCACCCTAAACCCTAAACCCTAAACCCTAAACCCTAAACCCTAAACCCTAAACCCTAAACCCTAAACCCTAAACCCTAAACCCTAAACCCTAAACCCTAAACCCTAAACCCTAAACCCCCGACTAAACTCTAAACCCCAAACCTGCTAAGCAAGAAGCGAGTTCTCTGTTTCTTCCTCGGCCACTGTGGGATCCTTAGTACAAAAGAAGCCCCCCCCAGTACCCCAACCCCGAGACCCTTAGTTTGGCAGCATCCCTGTCTAGGGCTTCTAAAACCCGAAACCCGAAACCCCAAAACCCTAAACCCTAAGACCCTAAGACCCTAAGAGCCTAAGACCCTAAGACCCTAAGACCCTAAGACCCTGAGACCCTAAGACCCTAAGACCCTAAGACCCTAAGACCCTAAGACCCTAAGACCCCAAGCTTAGGAACCATTCGCCGGACGTCCTCGCGGTTCTGCCTGGGTGTGGAGCACGGCGACTACAATGGCACTGCGGCGTCACCTCTGGAAGCTCAGGGTTTGGGGGGGGGGTTTAGGGTTTAGGGTTTAGGGTTTAGGGTTTAGGGTTTAGGGTTTAGGGTTTAGGGTTTAGGGTTTAGGGTTTAGGGTTTAGGGCTTAGGGTTTAGGGTTTAGGGTTTAAAGAGTTAATTAGGGCTTAGGGGTTTAGGGTTAAGGACTCAATCTCACCAAAGCTACACGTTCCGTTCATATGGTCCCTCAGCTGAAGGTGCGGCCCTTTGGGGAACATACGGGTTCCTCAGATTCAGGGCTCAGCTTGAGGAATCATGTGAAGCAGGGTTTATATTTCTGTTTTTTTGAAGAGCGTATATAAGGTTCCCTCTTTACTATTTGTGAGTGTATACCTTGGGTGTCCTGTTGGGGGTACAAGAACTCAAGACCCTACATCAATGTAAATACCCTAAGGACCCTAAGATCGAACGTTTTGGGGGCATGCGGCTTATGCAGATGTGCTTCGCAGACTCCCAGTTTGCCTTTCACCTGACTTTCAGGGTTTAGGGTTTCGTGTGTAGGCTCCGTAAAATCCACCGGGGGTTCCGAATCCTTCAGGGGGTTCAAGGGTTCAGGGCAAGGGCCTCCGAAATGAGATTGGCTTGCTTAATTAAAGGTTTAGGGTTTAGGGTTTAGGGTCTGGGGTTTAGGGTTCAGGGTTTAAGGCTTAAGTTTTAGGGTTTGGGTTTAGGGCCTGTGCCGTTATCCGAACCCTTAAGCCCTAAGCTGCGAGGCCCTTTCTTGAGAACTGGCCGGACGACATGGAGTTCTTAATGGAGTTCCTAAGCTCTAAGCTCCAAACCCTAAACCCTGAACCGTAAACCCAAAACCCAAAACCCCAAACCCAAAACCCAAGACCCAAAGCCCAAAACCCAAAACCCGAAACCCAGAACCCAGAACCCAAAACCCAAAACCCAAAACCCAAAGTCTTGCAAGCAGAGGTACTGAGCTCTTTGGTGTTGGGACCGATCGATTCATCTGGCCCCTTGGAACAGCCGAGTAGTGGGATGGGTGGGTGGGCTGCTGGGGGGTTAGTGTGTAGGGTTTTGGGGCCTAAACCCTAAACCCTACACCCTGCACCCTAAACCCTAAACCCTAAAACTGAAACCCTAAACCCTAAACCTAAACCCTAAAACCCTAAACCCTAAACCCTAAACCCTAAACCCTAAACCCTAAACCCTGAACCCTGAACCCTAAACCAATTAGACTTGGGGGGGTTTAGGGCTTTAAGTTTCATACTGACTGGGCAACCTAGTAGGTTGCACACAGGGCTGTCAGAGGGCTTTTTCGGAGGACTCATAGAGCGTACGGTGTTTAATTTAGTCTTTTTGTTTTTTTGGGGGAGGGGGGGGGGGATTTTTGGTTACTTAGGTTAACTTAGGTATGCAAAGGCCTGTTAACCTCTCAGCTTCCCTACAGGCCTGAGAGCCCTAAACCCGATGGTTTAGGGTTTAGGGTTTTGGGTGTAGGGTTTGGGGTTTAGGGTTTTGGGTTTAGGGTTTACGGTTCGGGGTTTAGGATTTGCTTAGGAGTTAGGGCCTCGGGCTTGGGGTTTAGGATATGTATATGTATATGTATGTGTATATGTATATGTATATGTATATGTATGTGTATATGTATATGTATATGTATATGTATATATATATATATATATATATGTATATGTATATGTATATGTATTTGTATATGTATATGTATATGTATATGTATATGTATATGTATATGTACATGTTTGTGTATGCGTATATGTATGTGTATATGTATATGGACATGTATATGTAGATGTATGTGCATATCTATGTATTCCGCGACCTTGTTTGCCTACATCGCCAAGCTTCATCCTAAACAACCCGTAACCCATAGCCCCCGAATCCCCAAAAGTCTAGTTGCCCAACCCGGTGTCAGGATGGCGTTTAAGCCGAACGATTCCGGAAAGATCCGAGTCTATAGCCTGGGCCCCGGTTGATGTTGCGTGGAGCTTACAGGGTTTACGGTTTAGGGGGTTTTGTTGATTAGGGTTTAGGGTTTAGGGTTTAGGGTTTAGGGTTTAGGGTTTAGGGTTTAGGGTTTAGGGGAGAAGAATCTGAATGTTCACAGAGCTTTAAGAGCGTACGCCTGTGGAAGTTCAGGCTCTGGGGTCAACAAATGTTGCGTGTGCGGCAGCTTCTGGATAAGTGCGCTTTTTTTGGGCTCTCTCTGAGGCGTCATGTGTGGGTTTCCGGTTTCCAGTGCAAGCTCCAATGCACAAGAAAGGGGCGCGCTTTCTAGGTTTGGGCTGTAGGATAAGGGTTCAGGGCCTTGTGGCTTGAGCCTAAAACCTAAACCCCCTGGTTCCGCAGGTCGTGGTGGTCTGTTGCCTTGAGACCCGCACTCCGAGTCTCCATGACAGTTTCCCAAGGCTTCTCTGTGGTTTTGGCGAACCCTAAACCCCAAACCCCAAACCCTGAGCCCTAAACCCTAAACCCCAAACCCCAAACCCCAAACCCTAAACCCCCAGAAGCGGTCGATCGTTCTGTCGGATTTTTCCGACGTTAAGGGGGCTTGGGGCTCAGATCGGGTTTAGGGTGCGCGGTCTCGTGGAAATCCCTGAAGAGGCCAGAATTTCCCCGATGAGGGGGTGGTGGAGTTCACTCCCGGCAAGGCCGCAGTTGTAGCCCTGAGCCCTAAACCGCAAACCCTAAACCCCAAACCCTAAACCCTAAACCCCAACTCCTAAATCCCAAATCCTAAACCCCAAACCCTAAACCCCAAACCCCAAACCCTAAACCCTAAAGGCCTTGTGGTTTAAGGGTTGTAGAATACTCGAGCCCTGCTCCCGAGACAGCTGAGATTTTGGGGTTTGGGGGTTTAGGGTTGAGGTTTGGGGTTTAGGGTTTGGGGTTTGGGGTTTGGGGTCTGTGGTTTGGGGTTCGGGGGTACTTGAAGGGTTCCGCTCTGAGTGGGGTTGTTTTGGCCTCGACTGGCCACGCTTAGCCACTCACCCCAAACGCCAAACCCCGAAATCCCAAAGCCCAAACCCTAAGCCCTAAACCCCAAACCCCTAAACTTCGAGCCCTCAGCCCTACACCCTACACCCCTTAGCCCTAAGCCCTAAACCCCAATGCACCCGAAGCCCTAAGGCGTTAAGGGCGTTTAGGGTTAAGGTTTAGGGTTTAAGCCCTAAGCCCTAGACCCCAAGCCCTAATCGAGGGTTCTAGACGCCCCCCCCCCCCCCCCCCAAGGCACTAAAACCTAAACCCTAGATCCCAAACCCCTAATCCCCAAAAACCTAAAAACCCCCTAAAGCCCTAAAACCTAGCCTTGTCCTGATATATATTGGGTTTAGGGTTTAGGGTTTCGGGTTTAGGGTTTAGGGTCTAGGGTTTAGGGTTTAGTGTATAGGGTTTAGGTAGTTCTCTAAATTCTGCTCCCTTCAGACCGACAACGGGACCCTAATTTAGATAACTCATAGTACTACCCATATTTGTATTTCCTTTTTTTGGGTTTAAGAGGATCATGTTTGAAAGCCCCCCTAAAGCCCTAAACCCTAAACAAGCCCTGAGCCCTGAGCCCTAAGCCCTAAGCCCCAAGCCCTAAGCCCTAAGCCCTATGCCCGAAGCCCGAAGCCCTAAGCCACCCTAAACCTTAAACCCAAACCCTCTCGCGCCAGGTCCCGCCCCCGAAATCGGCGGAGATTTCGGAGACCTGGGCCAGGTGCATGTGGACATGACTTGATGCAATAGGGTTTCCGCACCCTTCAGGGTTCAGGGTTTAGGGTTCCTGGCATGAAAACCTTGAAGACTTCGATCATTCCGACTTCCATGCTGAATATGCTCATGACGATGTCTATGATGACTTGACTGCTATGGTTGCTAGGGTAGCTATATCTTAATTTCTGCTGACATTGCCACCATGTTATTGTCATCGCTGTCGGCTAGCCCCAGGGCTATCACTGGCTGCCACCATAGTTCTGCCTAATGGACGGAGGGAATGTTGCGCCGCTTTCGCAAGGCGCGCCTGCGGCAACGATTTTGTTGAGTCACTCTCCAGAAGTGGCCGCAGCCTCTAGCAATAAGTGCAAGCCCACGAGCATAAAGGGTTTACGGTTTAGGGTTGAGGGCTTAGGATGCTGAACAAATGTCGTGCTTAGGGCATAGGGTTTCGGGTTTAGGGTCATGGGGCAGGTTCCCCTACGGCGTGGAGCATGTCTTGCGCCAGAATGGCATTGAGACGGGTCGTGGTTTTGATGCCGTGCTGCGCGGTGGCATTTAGTGGTCCTGTTGCTTCGGATTTCGGAATGATACTTTCAACTTACCCTAGCATCCTAAGACTCTAAAACCCTCCCCCCCAAAGTTGAAGGGCTCGGAGTTCCCAGTCATAGACGAACTTGAAGGAACAACTGCCAACACAAACGAGAAACCGTTCCTGCGGATGCTTGCTAGACCAAGTCACACCCTCCAGGCACCCCTTATTATTGCTATGCGGTGGCTTTGGAAGTGTACATAGCCATGGTTCATGGTCGGCCGTGGCGGACAAGGACAGTCTAACACCGTCGCGTTTAGGGTTCAGGGTTCAGGGTTTGGGGTTTCGGGTTTCGGGTTTAGGGTTTAGGTTCAGGGTTTAGGCTCTTTCTTGTGTGTCGACTCCCATGCTGCACGCTATAGCTTAGTTTAAGTCTCGATCCTTCCCCCCGTAGTGTGACACCCTAAGCCCTACACCCTACACCCTAAACCCTAAACCCTAGACCCTAGACCCTAGACCCTAAACCCTAAACCTAAACCTCAAACCCTAAACTCCAAACCCCTTGGTATTGGGCTTAGGGTTTGGGGTTTAGGGTTTAGGGTTTAGGGTTTAAGGTTTAAGGTTTGAGGTTTGTGAGGTTTAGGGTTTGGCTGCATGAGGCTGGTGGGAAACATCCCCGGCGGCGGAATGTCCCGTTCCGCTTCCCTGGCTTGGACCTCAAGTATGGGGCCAGGGGGAAAGAGGCTAAACCCTACACCCTACACCCTACACCCTACACCCTACACCCTACACCCTACACCCTACACCCTACACCCTACACCCTAAACCCTAAACCCTAAACCCTAAACCCTAAACCCTAAACCCTAAACCCTAAACCCTAAACCCTAAAACCCTAAAACCTAAACCCCTAAAACCCTAAACCCTATTTTTTTTTTTGGGGGGGGGGGGGGGGGGGGGGCGTGGTCTTTAGGGGGATGTCGATTCAGGACTTGGTTCGCTCTTCCTGGGCCTCCATGCTGAGACATCTTCGCTTTCGGGTCGAAAATACGGACCTAACCGAAGCTCCTAAACCTACACCCCGAAGACCCCAAAAGACCCGAAGACCCTAAACCCTAACCCCAAAGCCTGAACCCCGTCCCTCAGCCCTAAACCCTAGACCCCTAACGCCTAAACACTAAAGACGCCAAGTCTTCTGTAACAACAGAGTCACGAAAGCACCTCGCGCGCGGCAGGGTTTAGGGTTTAGGGTGTAGGGTTAAAGGTTTTGGGTTTAGGGTGTAGGGTGTAGGGTGTAGGATGCTGGGATGCGCATCAGCTATAGTACTAAGATTTCTTAATGGATTCCCTTATTTTGATTTCTCAAGGGACCCATCGTCGTGTGAGTCGGCTCTGTGCCAACAGCATCACGAGCTCTGGGATCCCCCACCTTCAACCCTAAACCGTAAACCCTAAACCCTAAACCCTAAACCCTCAACCCTCAACCCTAAACCCTAAACCCTAAACCCTAAACCCTAAACCCTAAACCCTAAACCCTAAACCCTAAACCCTAAACCCTAAACCCCAAACCCCAAACCCCAAACCCTAAACCCTAAACCCTAAACCCTAAACCCGAACACAAAGGGTTTAGGGCGCCCTCAGGTCATCAACCTCATGCTGACAATGCTCGAGGCCAGAAATCCTAAGATGACAAACACAAGTTTGGGCAGGTTTAGGGTTTAGGGTTTAGGGTTAGGGTTTAGGGTTTAGGGTTTAGGGTTTAGAGTTTAGGGTTTAGGGTTTAGGGTTTAGGGTTTAGGGTTTAGGGTTTAGGGTTTAGGGTTTACTTTGGGTTTAGGGTTTAGGGTCTGGGGTTCAGGGCTTTGGGCTTAGGGTTTAGGACTTTCGTGGTGCCGTGCCATGCGTAAATCCCTCGCATGGGGGGGGATGGGGGGGGAGGGTGTTTTGAGGGGTTTTGTGGCTGACAAGTGCTGGCGTGAATTCTCAAAGGGCACGAAGAAGCCTTACCCTAAACCTTAAACCCTAAACCCGAAACCCGAAACCCGAAACCCTAAACCCGAAACCCGAAACCCTTAATTCAGGAATAACTCTTCAAGTTTCAACATGGATCCAAGAATCCTCTTTGCAGGTTCTGGAGTATCTAAAAAGCGGGTCGAAGGCATGAAGGCCTTCTTGGGAACCCTAAACCCTAAACCCTAAACCCTAAACCCTAAACCCTAAACCCTAAACCCTAAACCCTAAACCCTAAACCCTAAACCCTAAACCCTAACCTAAACCCTAAACCCTAAACCCTAAACCCTAAACCCTAAACCCTAAACCCTAAACCCTAAACCCTAAACCCTAAACCCTAAACCCTAAACCCTAAACCCTAACCCTAAACCCTAAACCCTAAACCCTAAACCCTAAACCCTAAACAGGTGAACAACAAGAGCTTGCCGGAGGGCGACTTCAGGGTCGCCCCTCGGAGCGTGGGATGGTACTTGTGTGCGGAGTGTTAGGGTTTAGGGTTTAGGGTTTAGGGTTTAGGGTTGAGGGTTGAGGGTTGAGGGTTTTGGGTTTAGGGTTTAGGGTTTAGGGTTTAGGGTTTAGGGTTTAGGGTTTATGGTTTAGGGTTTACAAGCCTGAGCCCGTATGATTGCAACTTTGAGTTTTGTCGTCAGAGGCCCCTGCCCTCGTACCCCCCGTCCCCAAGTTTCGCGCAATGTCGTTGCCCAACCTCATAGCGAGATACGACAGAAACCCATCCTCTCCCTCAGAACCCTAAAGCCTGAAAGGCCCTGAACCCTTTGTTGAAGGTTACGATGGCGCAGCAGGTGGAGAACGACTACATCGGACCTTTACCTGATTCACAGGGGTGTAAGCCCTAAACCCTAAGCCTAAACCCAATAGACCCTAAAAGCCAAACCCTGCACCTAGGGCTCTAGGCGCAGGGTTTCATGCTTTTTGGAGACCGGTTTAGGGTTCAGGGTTTAGGGCTTGATGATAGAGACTCTAGCTTGACTTGAGGAATAGTACTCATTTCAGGACTACTGGGTTTGGTTTCGAGGGCGCAGCTGTCGACACGATCCTCTGCCACCCACCAGCAGGCAAAAACCTTCAGAACTGCTTCCCGAAACCAGCAAAGAAAGCACTCACCTGCGAAGAGAGACATGAAAACTCAATGAAACCACTGGAAGGCAGAATGCGAAAACGATGAACAATTACGCAACATGCAACTTCAGCTTCACAGCTGCTGTGTAGGGATTTGCATGTCCGGAATTGATAAGAAACATAGAAAACCGTTTTTCCAACAGCATACACCAAGCAATCAGAAATAAACTAACAACTAAAGCCATGTTTCAAAACACTGATGTGCAGAGCAAGAACGCGCTTGCGAATCAGAACAAACCAGCACAACGGTACCACCAGTTCCGCGCATGCGAGTCAGAACAAACCAAACGCAGCGGTACCACCGGAAGCCGGAAGCAGTATCTAATGAATGACAGCGAGAATGTACCAAACATGTGAACCAACTCGAAAATCTGAGGTGTAGGGAATGCTGTGCGCATAACAATAAAAAATATGTCACCATGCAAAATCAAACCATCAGCAAAGAGTAGAAACAACAAGCAAGGATAAACAAATCCATGGTGAGGCTTGTGCACATCATGGAAGCAGAATACGGACAATGACACCATGGGACATGGCATGCAAAAGTCAATTAGAAGGAATAGGAATGTGTAAGTTGGTGTGAGTGCTATGTGTAAGTTGGTGTGAGTGCTTGACCACAGCATGCTTTATGCATAAGAGTTAAGTTGCTGGTGCTAGTATGTATTCAGAAGTAAAGCCGTCGGCATTGTTTGATTCTTGGGATGCAGGAAAAAGAAAGCAATATTGAATGTACGCTTGTGGACAGCGGGCTCAAGGCACGGCACTCTTTGAAGGCTTGTGAATTCTGGGTTTTTTTTCGTCAGTTTTTGACATTACGGCCCCTTTCTGGGTACTCTAAACAAGAGGGGCCGCCTTATAATAAGGAACCCCCCCCCCCCCCCCCCCAAAAAGGACCATATAGAGAAGTGACCATGCGGTCATGTCAAAGGACAACAGAAGTCGTATGCTTACTTTTTTGCAGAGCTTCCAGGAAGAGCTACTGTAATAGGGTTCAGGGGTGCATTTTAGTGTTCAGGGTTTTAGGCCCCCTAAGCCCTATAAACCCTAAACCCTAAACCCTAAACCCTAAACCCTAAACCCTAAACCCTAAACCCTTCTGACACAAGGAACGCCCTGCGGTAACTTGGACCAGATCATGATCTACTATGCCAAAACGGGCATGGGCACGCGCTACGACCCCAAGACCAAGCAGGCCGACCGCTTCCATCCTAGGGTTTAGGGTTTAGGGTTTTGGGTTTAGGGTTTAGGGTTTTGGGATTAGGGTTTTGGGTTTAGGAGACCCCCCCCCAAAAAAAAACACACACACAAAAAAATGGAACAAATTAAACATACAAAGAACACAGATATGCATAACAATCCCATATTGCCCTTAAGGAGGAACATTTTTTGTTTTTTGGGGTGGCTCTCAATGAAGCAAATAGTAGCACGGCGTGGTTCGGGCTCGCGTTCGTAGGGTTTGTGCACCGCTGTCAAGGTTTACATAAGGCTTTGAAAGGGGTCTCGCTTCGGGCTTAGGTAGGGTCTATAGGCTAGAGGGTTCTTAGTAGCTGAGTCAGTACACCTTACACTTTTTGGGATACCATAATCTCCGATAGAACTGAAGGGGTGTAAACTTTTTTGGGGCTCATGAACTCAGCAGTTCAGGGTTTAAGGTGAGGGCTCACGACACGCTTGCCCAGCCACGAATTGGGCAAACCCCACCATGAGACCATCCTGGACTTGGGCTCGCAGCTTCGGGTTCAAGGCTCAGGGAGGGTTTAGGGTTTAGGGTTTAGGGTTTAGGGTTTAGGGTTTAGGGTTTAGGGATCGACATTTCCTGTGACATTACATGAGCCCTGCATTGAATTTGTGGTCCATGTACCTCAACTAGGGTTGCCGTCAGAGCTCGGAGGTGTATTTGTCAAGAGGTTTTGGGTTCATGTGGTCCCCAAGGTTCGGTTGGAAAATGCCATTGACGATGTTGACGCTTAGGTGAGAGCCACGCAGGGTTCGGGGTCTACTGGCCGGTACCAAGGAGCTTAAATTGAGTTTCCCATAGCAGGGTTATATGGCAAGTATTATGGTGCCCTGGCTATGGCACCCTAAACCCTAAACCCTAAACCCTAAACCCTAAACCCTAAACCCTAAACCCTAAACCCTAAACCCTAAACCCTAAACCCTAAACACCCCCCCCCCCCCCCCCTGGTCCCAGGTCTCCTATGTGCCTTTGGGCGTCGACACCAACGAGTTCAGAATAGCGGCTCTGGACACCGGTGCCCCGCCGACTCAAAGGATCCTTATTGGGTTTAGGGTGCAGGGTTTAGGGTTTAGGGTTTAGGGCTTAGCTGAACGGTTTAGGCTTTGCGTTTCTATACGCTTCCTGTGTATACCAAAGGCAGGCTTGAGTTTCTGAGGGTGGGGATTGAGGTCTGCAGGGCAGCCGGTAGTTTCGAGCAAGACCTGGCCCTGTGCCCTACGTAGTTTCGAGCTACCCCTGGACCCTGCTCTGAAAGTAAGCAACTGGACCCACTAATCTCCTCGCCGAGACCGTTTCCAACATCTGCGCGCAAGTTTAGTTGCATCCTTCGGCTACAACTGAACTTCCTACATCTTAACTTCCGTGCGACGTAAAACCAATCTGAGCCTCTGGTGTGTGGTCGTCTTGCTTGTGCTTGTAATTCCGGGTATTTGTATGATAGAGAAGGGGGGTAAGAAAAAGAAAAACAGATAGAATGAATACACGGCGAACGTCGGGAGGGTCGGGCGGGCAGCACACCCTAATACCTAAACCCTCAACCCTAAACCTTAAACCCAAAATCCTAAATCCTAAACCCTGAACCCAAAGACGATTGAGGTACAGTCCGTCACGGCTTGGAGAAGACTACTTACGCAGTGCGCGTAAAGGCCTCCTCGAACGGGTTTAGGGTTTAGGGGTTAGGTTCAAGGTTCAAGGTTCAGGGTTCAGGGTTTAGGGTTTAGGGTTTAGGGTTTAGGGTTTAGGGTTCAGGGTTTAGGGCTTAGGGTTTTAGGGTTTAGGGTTTAGGGTTTAGTGTCAGGGTTCCAGGTTTAGGGTCTTGAAGGTATAGCGTTTGGGGTTTTGAAGGTTTAGGGTTTTGGGGGTTTAGGGTTCCCTTGTAAACCCCTTCAAGATAAATGACACCCTTTTCTTCCTGGGTTTCGCTGGGGTCTAGAGATGTGGGGCTGTAGGGTTTGAGGGAAGGTTTGGGGGCTTTAGGGAAGGCCTTTTAAGGTGTTGTGGCTTTAGGGGCGTTGGTCTCATGCATCAAGGGACTTAGAACCACTTGTTGACACAACTCAGGGCCCTTACAACTCCACTCCTCTCCCCATACACCTAAGCCCTAAACCCTAAACCCTAAACCCTAAACCCTAAACCCTAAACCCTAAACCCTAAACCCTAAACCCTAAACCCTAAACCCTAAACCCTAAACCCTAAACCCTAAACCCTAAACATGCGCGCAGGAATGTTGTGAGTTCGTGGCCCTCCTTCAGAAGAAGGGTTACAAGATTCAGAGCCTGGGGGACGTGAAGGATCGGGCCACTTACGAGCCGTGGCTTCCTGTGGGGTTCAGGGCTTGGGGTTTAGGGTTTAGGGTTTAGGGTTTAGGGTTTAGGGTTCAGGGTTTAGGGCTTAGGGTTTAGGGCTTAGGGTTTCGGGCTTAGGGTTTAGGGCCCCTGCCTCCTAAGTCTAAAAACCCCAAACCCTGACTTTCAGAGGCTGGTCTTATGCTTCGGGAGTGCATAGAACAGTAGCTTGGCATGCTCATGCAAATGGAGTCTCTTACCAGGGCCTCCGGCGATGTGCGCCCTCAACCCTAAGACCCCTTCACCCCCAGACCCTTAAACAAATCCGAAGCCGAGTTTACATGGTCATGGCCTTTGCAGATTCCCTTCCTGCAGCCTTGAACTGCAAAAGGCTTGCAGATCTCTCTAAACAAGCTCATGAAAAGAATAGATTCCTTTAATAATCAGATAGCTATTTCTCCTTAAATCATACAGGGGGTGCCAACTTACCAAACGGTTTCAAGTCTGATCCTTGACTAGTTAAGCCATTTTAGAAGATCCGGGGATTGAACATGGACGCAGTCAGTCCAAGACCTTATTGGGATTTAGGGTTTAGAGGTTAGGGTTCAGGGTTTAGGGTTTAGGACTTCGGTCTTCAGGGTTCGGGGTGTGAGGGTTGAGTGTTTAGGGTGTGGGGAACGAATTTGCCTATGATTCCCCCACACAAGGGTGCAGGTTTTGTTGTTAAGTTTGTGAAGTTACCGGGCGACCCTGCACTACACCTAAACCCTAAACCCTAAGCCCTAAACCCTAAAAGCCCGCACAGTTCTCAGCTCTCCAGACTTCTCGACCCAAAAGGTACATGAAGACCCGAAAGCCTAGCCGTCAGAGGATGCAAAGCGCTCACCCTGCACCCTAAACCCCCTAAACCCCCTAAACCCCCTAAACCCCCTAAACCCCCTAAACCCCCTAAACCCCCTAAACCCCCTAAACCCCCTAAACCCCCTAAACCCCCTATACCCTAAACCCCCTAAACCCTAAACCCCCTAAACCCTAAACCCCCTAAACCCTAAACCCTAAACCCTAAATTCTAAACCCTAAGCCCTAAGCCCTAAACCCTAAACCCTAAACCCTAAACCCTAAACCCTAAACCCAAACCCTAAACCCTAAACCCTAAACCCTAAACCCTAAACCCTAAACCCTAAACCCTACACCTAAAACCCTAAGGAGAAGATTGTGGCCGAATGTGGTTCCTCACATCCAGACCACTGCTTGCGACTGGAGTATCTCTTTTTCGCACAGGCGGGCTCGAAGTCCTAAGCCCCCACTAAACCCTAAACAATATCTTGCAGCTGTGTTTTTGAACCCTAAACCCTAAACCCTAAACCCTAAACCCTAAACCCTAAACCCTAAACCCTAAATTCGAAACCCTAAACCCTAAACCCTAAACCTTCGCAAGACTTTTTCAGAGGGTCTAAGGGATCAACCTGTGGGGAGCCGCGGAACCAAACTCCCTGAGCCCCCTCCTGGATTAAAGCAGCCGCGGAACACCCTCAGACACAAGCCCTACATGTTTAGGGCTTAGGGCTTAGAACCCTAAACCCGAAACCCTAAGCCCTAAACCCTAAACCCTGAACCCTAAACCCTAAACCCTAAACCCCAAACCCTAAACCCTGACCCCTAACCCTGAACCTGTACATAAGCTTCACGCGGCGCCTTCTGCACAAGGCCCCGTTGCCTTTTCACGGATCCTAGAAATCCTGCAACTAGAAATCCTACCAAACACGCTGTAGGGTTGAGGCTTTAGGGTTTAAGGTTTCGGGTTTAGGGTTTAGGGTTTAAGGTTTCGGGTTTAGGATTTAGGGTTTCGGAAGTGTTTGACAGGGAGGTTCTCTAAAGAAGTATCCTTTGTGCGGGGCGGGGGGGGGGGGGGGGCCTTCCTGTAATCGGGACGCAGCAAGGGCTCTCATGTAGGAAGCTACCCAAACCCCAACGGGTTTAGGGGTTTAGGGGTTTAGGGGTTTAGGGGTTTAGGGGTTTAGGGGTTTAGGGGTTTAGGGGTTTAGGGGTTTAGAGTAGGGTTCAGAGTTTCGGGACACAGGCCAGTGCCCCACAGGCTTTGTGGCTTCAACATTGCGAGCCTCACAGCACGTCCTCCTCTGGTTAGGGTTTTAGGGTTAGGGGGGGGGGGGGGGGGGGGGGGGTCTTAGGGTCTTAGGTTCTTAGGGTCTTAGGGCTTCGGGTCTTGGGGCCTTAGGGCCTTAGGGTCTCAGGATCTTAGCGTCTTAGGTTCCTTAGGTTCCCGGGGTCTTAGGGTCTTAATGTCTTAGGGTCTTAGGGTCTTAGGGTCTTAGGGTCTTAGGTCTTAGGGTCTTAGGGTCTTAGGGTCTTAGGATCTTAGGGTCTTAGGGTCTAACTTAGGGTCTTAGGGTCTTAGGGTCTTAGGGTCTTAGGGTCTTCGGGTCTTGGGGCCTTAGGGCCTTAGGGTCTTAGGGTCTTAGGGTCTTAGCGTCTTAGGGTCTAACTTAGGGTCTGAGGGTCTTAGGGTCTTTGGGTCTTTTCGTCTTTTGGTCTTAGGGTCTTAGGGCTTGAGGTCTCAGCGTTTCTTATTGGTTTAGGAGGTTTAGGTGCCAGGGTTACCATCGCACCTGGGGTGTGTGGATTCTGGCTTTCTGGTTGAGTTAGGCCTGCCAACATGTCACAGTTTAGGGTTTATGGTTTAAGGTTTACGGGTTCGGGTTCGGGTTCGGGGTTTAGGGTTTAGGGGTTCGGGGCTTAAGGTTTAGGATTTCGGCGTTTAGGGTTTAGGGTTCCTGGTTCGGGGCTCAGGGTTCCGGGTGCAGGGTTCAGTTCTCGAGGTTCCTGGTTCAGGGTTCGGGGTTTCGGGTCTGGGCTTGCAGCCTAAACCCTAAACCCTAAACCCTAAACCCCAAACTCCAAACCCTAAACCCTAAACCCTAAACCCTAAACTCTACCTAAGCCACGCGCAGCTGGTGCAGGAGAGGTTCGAGGCGATGGTGAAAGCCTGGGAAGCCGGCAACATCGACGAGGTGGGTGCACCCTAAACCCTAAGCCCTAGCCCTAAGCCCTGAACCCTAAACCCTAAAGCCTAAACCCTAAACCCTAAACCCTAAACCCTAAACCCTAAACCCTAAACCCTAAACCCTAAACCCAAACTCTAAACCCTAAACCCTATTCCATCATCGGGGTGCCACAGGCAACCTTGTGAGCCGTCCTACTCTTACCCCTTTATTCGCGCATGTTATGGGGAACCCGAAGCTCGAAACCACACACTCTAAACGCCAAACGCCAAATCCGAAACCCTACAACCCCTAAACCCCAAACCCTAGAGACCCTAGAAACCCTAGAAACCCTAGAAACCCCTAAGCCCTAAACCCTAAACCCTAAACCCCAAATTCCCCCCACCCTCCCCCTCCCCCCCGCCTTCACTTTTGCTAGTGCGCGCCGGGCAGGTGGGCGCAACTTTCCGCCGGGATGGCATTGGCCTGCGCCTCTCGGATGGGACGTTCAGGGTCAATAGGGGTTTAAGGGCTTAGGGTTTAGGGTTTAGAGTCTAGGGTTTAGGGTTTAGGGTTTAGGGTTTAGGGCTAGGACTTAGGGTTTAGGATTGCGGGTTTAGGCTTTAGCGTTTAGGGTTTGGGGATTGGGGTTCAGGGTTGGGGGTTTCGGAATTGGGTTTGGGGTTCAGGGCTCAGGGTTTAGGCTTTGAGGTTGTTTACAGCAGAGGTCGGTTTCGATCTAGAGTCCCTTGAAGCGTTGCATGGGGGGGAGTATATAGGATGTCAAACCGCTTGGGCTCTTCAAACCATATCCCCATTCAACCTTGAAGCCCCGAAAACCCTAAACCCCCAAAACCCAAACCCAAAACCCAAAACCCAAAACCCAGAACCCCGAAACCCCGAAACCCCCGAAACCCCGAAACCCCGAAACCCCGAAACCCTAAACCCTAAACCCTAAACCCTCGACCCCGAAACCCCGAAGCCGGTAGCCTCCAGGCGACGAGTATCAAATCTCGGGCCCGGAACTGGAGGCTGGGTTTGTGGGTCTAGGAACTATCTAAGGATTTGTTGGGTTGTGGGGGTTTAGGGTTTAGGGTTTAGGGTTTAGGGTTTAGGGTTTAGGGTTTAGGGTTTAGCGTTTAGGGTTTAGGGTTTAGGGTTTAGGGTTTAGGGTTTAGCGTTTAGGGTTTGGGGCTTAGGGTTTAGGGCAAAATAAGGAAGTGTTTTGCCATACCCCTTAAATTGTTTTAGGAGTTTGAGGTTTAGGGCTTCTGGGCCCGGCTCAGAAAAATCGGCACCCCAAAGCAGGGGGTTTAGGGTTTAGGGTTTAGGGTTCGGGGTTCAGGGTTTAGGGTTTAGGGTTTAGGGTTTGGGGTTTGGGGTTTGGGGTTTCGGGTCTAGCGTAGAATTTGGGATCTCGTTCTCATGACAGACGATGGTCAACATCGCTCGCACTGTCCCCGGCGTGATTGGCGAGCGCATGCTTGGGGGTGGCGACAAGGCGCGGTTGAACCAGGATTCTGCTTAAGGAGTTAACTAAACTGGCCCCAAACCACCGTTTAGCTGTACATACCACGTAGGGTTAGGAGAGCAGATTCGGATGACTGATTGTATTTTGGCTCAAGGAAAATAGGCGTGCCCGTTGTGCGTCTTTCCTTGTCTTAAGTACCTTTGTTGTACTTAACTGGTTAACAGCCTCAAGCTACGTGGTCACTTTGGTAGGAACGTAGGCAAAGCCGCGCGCCGCCATAGTGCCCCCTCCATAACCGCACACCTGCCTTGAGAGTGTGCTTGAAATTGCGCGACAGGAGCCGCTGGCCCTGCCTCATTCATACTTCACATCCAGCATTGTGTCGAGCCAGAGCCAGGCTCAGCAATTGCATTCACTTCACCTGCAAGCCACCGTTGGGCTTTCCACGTGGCATTCCATATCTCGAAATCTTCGATCGTGCATGCAAAGCACTGAGCCGGAAGAGCATTACGCAACACACCTCCACATTTGGGTTCATTTCATTAAGGCCTTGCGTGAGAAACGCATCACGCGTTTGTTGATTGCTCATCCGCTAAATTGGTGGAGAAGGTTCGTGAGTAATCTTCTTGCTAATCACTACAGAGAGGTATCGTTTGACTGGCAGCTTAGGGTCCTTGTCCGTGCTTTAACGTACGCCGACGATCGGTGGGTCCCTAGATTGCCTCAATACTTTCCGTGACATCCAGGTACATCGTGTGGCTGCGCATCTCCGCTGCGGTGTCGAGGTGCTTGCCCCTCTTGCCCTGGTTGGTTCTGACTTTCGGACTTCACTTCAAACATTCCTGAACATCTTGCCTTTGTACCCTCTCCTGTGAACCCGTGCACGGTTTAGGGAGGCTAGGCCTTGTGGGTACCCTAGGCGTCTGACGAAGCATCACTGCATCACCGTGTGCTTCGCCTCGAACTGCCCAAACAGCAGGTTCAGTTCAGACTTCGATCTTCGCGTGGTTTGTGGTCTCCCTTCGGGTTGAGACTAAGCCCATCACTCCGCCAACAGCAAACCCACAGTGCCGTCGGCTTGACCACGCACTGTGAACGCAACATCGGACAAAGTCCCAATCCCTAAGAGGTTTCAGGGTCAAAGCAAAGAGAGTCGCGGGTCTTCCCCACTCTCATCCGTGTGCATTGGCTCAGACAGCCGGTTGAGTGCGTGTCGTTAGTTGAAAGACCTGCATTGCCCCAATATCCCATCTGAGGAATCCCGGCAAGGTAGTCAAGCTCAGGCACTCTGCACACATTCTTCTGGCCACTTTCTAGGCTTGTTGGGGTCGCCGCCCGAATTAGGCTTAGAGGGGTCGCCGCCCGAATCAGGCTGTGCAATTGTCTCTGGTACCATGGGTTGGAACGATTTTTTTGCAGGCGTGGGAACGCGTGACCTCTGAAGAGTCCTTTGTGGAGCGTGTGACTGCTGCTTTTTCCAGGGCCACGAACTCGCCTGCGGTCAAAGGCTCGTCTGAGTTCCGTCGGAGGAAAGCTGTCCTCTTGGTGGTCATCCGTGCGCTGGTGCAGCTTCTCATCGGTACTCAGCAACAGTCTGGGGCCATACGGCTGGTCCGAACTCGAGAAAGAGAGCTCGAGGGCACGGAGGCATTGCCATATCATCCTTACGCTACGTTCGTCGAGGATACCCTGGAAGAGGTCAGAGGAGTGCTTCAGGCACCTTCGCCGGAGCCTGAGATACCGGCTCCGAGGACTCCTCCTGTCGCAGTGCGCTCCAGATCTCCGCCTCGTTCCTTGGTTGAGGGTTCTGACCAAACTCCGGTACCTCCTAGACCGCGACCGAAACATAAGGGTGATCGAACCCCTGCACCTCCTAGGGCACGACCTAAACATAAGGGTAATAGAACCCCGGTTCCTCCCAAGGCAAGTACCTTGCCCGGAACACCAGGTCCGTCACGTGCACCGGAGGCTGCAGCAGATCTTCTTGTGTATCGTCCCAAAGCAAAGGCCCGACCCGAGTCCAGACCACCGCAGGACTGGGAGTTGGACGAAAGAGAGTATCCAACCATAGCGGATTCGTTCAGGGTACAGGTTGAATTGGGACAACACTCAGATAGAGAAGCCATAAACCGGTGGACTACTGAAGAGTGGAGAGAGCATAATCAGGCGCTCTCATCTTCTTCTTCTGCCGCGCCGCGTGTTGCACCTTTGGAAGTGGTCGAAGTGCGTGAGGACATCCCTGTCCTGATTTCATTGGATTTCAGCGGGGTGCTCAACATCCACTTTCAGGACAGCCGAGATTTTTTGGACCGTTTGAACGCAGAGCGTCCGAGCCACGTGAAGCTGAAGTTTATTTGCACGAGTTACTCTGGGACAGAACGGGCCAAAGAAACGCGTCAGTCGATGGCTTCGGAGCTTCCGGGCGTGCCAGTCTACATCACTAGCTCTCCAACGGGCCGTCCTGGAAAAGGAGCCTTCATTAAGCGTTTGATGGACCGGCGGTCGGATCACTTTGCGTGTCATTTGGATGACAGATCAGACATCGTGCGGGACGTCGAGGCGTATGGTGTTCACGGTATTTTGGTATCGCCGAATACGTGGCTGACTGATCTCGTGCCCACTGTGTTGTTGTGGCTGCGGTCCCTGTAAAACGCTAAAAGAGAGCTGCTGACCTTCAGGGGAACCTGGGGTTTCTATTGCCTGGCACCATGGCGATGAGTCCCGAAACTACTGATTCCTCGCTCCAGGTGTCCACTTCCAGCACGCCGCCTACACAACAGGCGCGGGCACTCAGTGCTGTAAGGGCACAAGAAGCAAGGGTAGGAGAGAGCAGTAGTGATTCCACTCCCGTAAGAGCCGTTTCAACCGGAAGGGGAAGGTCCTCTCAACCCTATGCCTTAGCTAGTTCCCGAAATCGCTCTTCCTCCTCTAGGATGCAAGCTTTGTTGCCTCCGCCAGCTTATGCATGTGAAGTTGCAAGTCCTGCACCAGCAAGTCAACCTGTTTCGCTTGCACCGGGCGATGGGACAACCACCCCGGATGTGCACTTGCATCAGCATGTTCAGCGCATTGCCCCAGAGTTGCACCTGCATCAGAGTCGTCAGGAATTGCATCTTCATGGGGTTGATTCCCGAACACATTCTCAGGCCGTTGCTGCTGCACAGCTGGCACAAGCACAAGCACAAAACATTCAACAGGACGCTCAGGTGTTTGCCCAGAACGTTCAGCATGAAGCTCAGGCATACGTGCAGGTTGCAAAGAGTGAGGCTCAGGCATATGTTCAGAGCGCTGTCACTTCTGCTCAACATGAAGCCATGCAGCACGCACAAGAGTATGCAGAGCGCGTTAGGGCTGAAGCTGAGAGACAGGTCCAGAGTGTTTCAGAACAAGCCGGTCAGCATCTTGCACAAGCAAACGAAACCATTGCCTCACTTCAGGCTAGGAATCGTGAGCTTGAGGAGCAGCAGGAAGAAATGATGCAGCGGATTGCGATGATCCAAGCTGAGATGCAAAGCATCAAAGCTCAACAACAGTCCCAAGCCGACACATCCCACCTTCACGCAGAGCGAGTGTCGCAGGCCTCAAGGGCTCAGGACCAAAATGGCACGGAGATCAGTGAAGCCCTCAAGGCCTTGGCTGCAAGTGTTGGTGAGACAATGAAGGAGTTGCGAGAAATCGTCAGTCCCAAAGCATCCAAGCCTAAAAGCAAAGCGAAAGGTTCGGGGCTCCGAAACGGGACACCCTCCCCTAAGCATAAGAGTCCAAAGGTCTCAGCGGCTCAAGGTCAAAGATCTGCTGGTGTGGCTGCTGCGCCTGTTCCAAATCGGTTTGGATGCTTCTGCGCACCCAGGTTGCCAGTTTTCACCGGTGTTGGTTTGCCGGCTCCGTCTAGATCCAAGAAGGGTTCTTCGAGTGACAATCCCTTCAACGTCTTCTCCACTCCCAAACCTCCTTCAGTCGTGCATCCCCCAGACCCTCCGATGCACTACGACATCGGGTCCGAACACGAGGAAGGTGAGGAGGAAGAGGAGAGGGAAGATGACCCCATCATTGATGTCACCGATGCACCGGGGGAAGAAGAAGTAGACTATGAGCAGGATACTTACCACAACAAAGATCTTCGAGACCTGAAAATCCCTGCACTTCCTTCGACAGCCGCGGGATATCGAGCATGGAGGAACGGCGTTTTGACATCGTTCAGCAGCATAGACAAGAGTGGGAACGCCAGGATACTGAGATGGCTCCAGGTCGCCCTTGATCCAGCCATAGGAGACCGACAGATGCGCAATCTGCAGGTCACGTCTGACGGCCTTCCCCGCCTTGATGCATTCCTGGCTGCACAGCTTACAGATCCAAAACACCTCAAGGGAGACTACGGAGTCGCTGCCCAGGCGTTCACCGAGCGAGCACATGCGTTAGGCGTGCAGCCTTCCGGGCGTGCGCTGTTGGCAATGCTCAGCCGAAGGTTTCGGGTAGACCGGATCAGGGGGGCGACAGTCTCCCAGCAGACACTCTTAGCCATCCAGCTCGAAGGCTTCAGCCAACAACAACTGCAAGCCTTTAGAGAAAAGGTTGAGTTTTGTTTGAACGGTTTCAGTCCCGAAGCATGGCCCGCTGAGTCTACCTTGTTTAGCTGGTTATACTCCAAGCTCAAGCACTGCAGGCTTCTTTCCAGAGCAGTCGACAAGATCAAAGACTCCAATCCAGGTAGCAACAAGCGAACCTTTGCGTGGTTGTGGTCGCAGCTTGTCGAATTGCTAGATGAGCTGAGAGAAGAAGCAAACGAAGAGTCAATTCGTGACACTCTCATCAAGCCCAAAGCCAAAGCTGCTCCCGCCCCAAAGAAAGAGGAGCGTTCCCGCGATAAGCCGGACAAGCCCACTCCTGCCAATCCAGCCCCTCCGGCCAAGACCAAAGGTTCTGGGAAGGATGGGAAAGACAAGGATGGCAAGGGAAAGGGGGGTAAAGGGAGTGGTAAGGGTGCAGATTCACAGAAAACACCAAACAAGCCAAAGGCGAAATCAGGCGGTAAAGGCCAGGGCTCCAAAGCTGAAGGCAAAGCCCCAAGCAAAGGAAATGCCCCCAAAGCTACCGTACCATGCCTGTTCTTCCCAAAGGGAACGTGTAACCGGGGTGAGAATTGTCCGTTTTCGCATGAGACCTCTCCCGGTAACAAGGCCCCAGGGTCAAAGACTACTGGAGCTAGCGCTACGGCAAAGAGCTCTGCCGCAGCTGTCGCCCTGCTGCTTCCCACTACGGCGCGGGGTGCCTCGGTCGATGGTTCCTCCACACCGAGCAAGACAACCTTTTGGAAGCGTTCAGGATTGAGTAGGTTCTTCCAGTTCGTTTCGGGGTGGTTTACTGTGTTCAGCAACATCTGCGCTCCTGCCTGTCCCGCCACTGTCACTCCGTTGCTTGTAGCATCTCAGCATCAGCACCCGCAACAGGGATGGTTCTACCACGAGTGGATCGCTGATAGTGGTGCAGGTAGATCCCTAGAGAGTCGTGAAGCCCTCAATGAACAAGGCATTCCTGAAGACGCATACGCACACATGGCCGAACAGGCACCCACAGTATCCTTTTCCACAGGGAATGGTGTCGTTGATTCAGGGCTCATGCTTGGCTTCGAGGGTTCCATTCTAGGAAACAATTCTGCATATCTCCTGGACAACTGCCCTAGTGTAAAATCACTTGGTGAGTTGGTAGAGACAAAGTCTATGCCGTTTGTATGGTTGCCAGGAAAGCTTCCGATGTTCCTGTCGAGTGTCGAACACGTTCAGGTCATTGAAGAATCCGCCATATGTGCCGATAGAGTTGAGGGAAATGTTCCAATCTTCAGGGAACAGGTCAGATTCGTCTCGCCTTCCACTGTTGCGATGCCTGGCTTCATGAGCGATGCTAGAAAGGCAAAGCCTCTTGCACGCACTACCATAGAGCCTTCACGGCACACCACGTATCGACCCTCGCCGCATATCACGGAGGAGTCTACCTTGCTTGAGTTGTTGCAGGATCCAGGGGTGCCGTCAAAGACCGCCTCCGGGTCTAGAGATCCTCCACCTGACTCTGATGACGAGCTGAAGTCTAGGGCAAAGTCCTCTTCAGCAAGAAAGCCAAAGGCTAAACCAAGTCCAAAGGACAAGGTCAAAGGTGCAAAAGCTCCTAAACCTGCTGAAGCAGCGAAGGCTCCGGAACCTCCTGCTCCAGTAGAACCCGAGGTCCCGCCACCTCCACTTCCTCCACCTGCCATTCCGCCAGGTTCTGGGTCGGACTCAGGAGAGGACGTAACATCAGAACGTCAGAAGCAACTCATCAAGGAGGCCTCTTCAATGGCACACAAGTTGACGCATATCCCTAAGAATCCCTACTGTGAGATATGTCAGCGAAGCCGCATGTATCGACAAAGAGTCACCAAGAAGCGTGCAGAGCCTCTCGAAGACAGAGGTGACTTGCCTCCTGCTGAACAGTTTGGCGAGAGGATTGCAACAGACTATATAATCCCTTCGAAGCGTGAGCATGCAGTCCATGTCATCAGGGATGAATATAGTGGTGCACTGCGAGCTTTTGTCTGTGCGCGCACAGCTGAGAGAGCAGCTCAGAACCTCCTTACCTTTGTAGGCGCCCGATACAAGCACCTCCCGAACGTGTTGTGTAAGGCTGATGATGCAAAGGAGTTAATAGCTGCCGTCTCACAAATAGGATGGGTGCATGAAGCGACCCTAGAAAACAGATTTCCACACAACGCCCAACTTGAGAGAGAGATAAGAACTCTCGAGGAATCGACTCGCGCGGTGCATTTGGCTGCTGGGTTCCATGTGGTTCCAGATCTGTGGCATGTGTCCGTGCAGTTTGCCGCGCAGACTTTGACAGTTGTACCGTGGCAGGGCAAAGACAAGTCGCGTTTCGAGGTTGCAACTGGTTCCCCATTCGAAGGCCCAAGGCTTCCCTTGGGACAGTTGGTGCATTACAGGATCCATGACCCCAGCCGCAGGCATAAGTTCGAAGCTACAACTGCTCCCGGACTATTTGCAGGTTGGAGGTTTGAGCACGGATTTGTGTATCGTGACGTGATCTGGGTGCTAGACTATGAAGCCGTCAAGTCCAAGTCGATTGGGTATAGGGACATGATCCCCGTGCCATATGCGGAAGTGCATGTCCCAGAGACTGAGACCTTCCCGCTAAAGGCCGCGGCGGATCTTGCTCTTCGCGAGTTCCAGGATCCCAAACTTGAGGCTATCACAGCGCTGGACATACCATTCAGCTCACTGTCCCCTGCTGATCCTCCTCGAAGGCGCGCAGAGTACATTACGCTTGAACGCATTCTTAAGTTCGGTGCCACACCAGGATGCAAAGCGTGCACTTTCGATTCCGTGAAGCATAGTCCTAAATGCCGAGCAAGATTCGATGCCCTGATAAAGGCTGATAGGATTGCGTTGACGTCCAAGCCCCCTGAGCCAGTTCCTCCAGCTGAGCTCCCCGAAGGCGTTGGTCTCCACCCTTCGAGTGAGCCCGCTGTAGAAGGTCTTGTTGCGAAGGTCGAGCTCGGTGTGACGCAAGTCTTTGTCGATGTCAACAGGGAAAGAGTCCGCCAAAGAAAGGTGCAAACGCTCATAGGCAAGGATGTGTTGTTCGAATATGCGTGTGGCGACAGTTCAGAGCTTTCGCAAGCTGCGTCCGAAATTGGCATCAACAGTATCCGCTTATGCCGAAGCATGATTGATTTGTCCAACGAAGAACATGTCAAACAAGTTCAAGGTCAGGTCGAAGCATCGCCAGGTTGTGATGTGTGGCTCTCATTGCCGTGCACCGAGTTCAGTCCGTGGCAGAACATGAACGTCCATAGGCATGGGGCGAAGTACGAAAGGGTCTTCGGAATCGCCAAGAGAAGAGCAAGCTTATGTTCTTGTATGCCCGCAAGGTACTCGCAACTGCCATCGCAAATCATGGAAGGATCGCAGTCGAGTGGCCCAAAGGGTCCGGCTGGTGGGATCTCCCTGAATGGAAAGAATTTCAGGATGAACATGGTCTACACAAAGTGTCTTTTGATGGCTGCATGGCTGGAGTGAAGGGCCGAGAGCATCCAATCCGCAAGCCCTGGAGCGTAGCCACTAATGATCTGCGACTTGTTCAATTTCTTGGACAACTGCAATGTGACGGTAGCCACCAGCACGAGGCCGCCGAAGGCTCACAAACAAAGCAGACTGAAGCATACCCACGAGAGCTCGCTCACAACATCGTCGAAGCGTGGTATCCGCAACGCTACCATCGCCACATCCCCTCCATGGTCACGAAGAACTTAACAAAGCGGGAATGGAAAGCAGACCCGCGCGGAGTTGCAGCCGTGAAGAAGGAGGCAGAAGGGTTACGTTCTAACGGAACGTGGGATGATTTGACAGTCTGTCTTTTGTCTTCCTTGCGTGCCGATGCAAAACGGCAAAACCGTAAACTCAAAATTGCAGAGCCTCGCATTATGTGGGATAAAACATTTCGAACTCCCTGAGCATGAACACAAGTTCAAAGGGAGAATCGTGTACAGGGGGGACTGCATTTTTGACCAGTTCGGAAACCATGTTCTTTTTGAAGACGTGGCTACCACACCAACTTCCTTGGTTGCCCTTAACATCGCATTGTTTTTCGGCTGCCAAGATGGAAACGCAGTGAGCCTTGCAGATGCCATTCAGGCATTTCTTCAAGCTGACCTCGCTGAGGCAGGAGAGCCCGACACATGGGTTATCCTCCCCGAGGAGCTGTGGTTGGACACATGGCACAAAGCGTACCCATCAGGGTCGAAGTTGGTGGTAAGGTTGAAGCGAAGCTTATATGGCCATCCGCTTGCTGGCAAACTATGGCAGAAACACCTAGCCTCTGTTCTCACTTCCTTTGGTGGCATTGAGATGGATTTGTTTCCTTCAAACTTCATCTTTCAAATGGGTTCCCATACCCTGCTACTTAACGTGTATGTAGATGACCTAACGTTGTCGGGAGCAAAGCATCTTCATGCACAGTTTTGGAAAAGGCTGAGAGCGCATATCAAGCTGGAAGACGAATGTTACATCGAAGCCTCGAATGCACGGATCCTTGGCAGAGGTCACCGAATCCAACGAGGCAGTGACTTCACAACTCTTGTGCTTGATATGTCTGCTTTCGCAGAGCAGGTCGTCGAGGCGTACTGCGAGCTTGCTGATGTCCCAAAGGCAAAGCTCCGTAACGTCACAACCCCAAGTTTGTCCGAGGCGTTAATGTCAGATGAGGACCTGCAGCAACCCGGCACACTGAGCCATGTAGCTGCAAAGGTACTTATGAAAGCACTTTGGCTGGGTCGGTTGGCTCGCCCTGATCTGTGTTTCATAATCGGTCGGTTAGCGTCACGAGTGGCCGCGTGGACTAAATGGGAAGACAAGCAGTTACTTCGCCTGATTTCGTATCTTCACGGTACAACAGGCTTATGTTTAGCTGCTACTGTGAACCATCACGAAGCTCCCCAGATCCACATCTTCACTGACAGTGATTTCGCCTCTTGTCCGCATAGTGCAAAATCGACGAGCGGGATCTACATGACTATAGGGTCAACAGATTTCCGCTTTCCGCTGTGGTGGGCATCTAAGAAACAGACGAGTGTTGCAAGAAGCACTCCCGAGGCTGAGGCCATAGCAATGGCTTCCGCCATGTTTGGTGAGGCCTTGAACATTCAGGTCATGATGGAGCATCTCCTCGGTCGTGCTATCGACGTCGTATTCCATCAAGACAACGAGACCTTGCTCAAAGTCCTGGCTACAGGCTATTCGGCGAAGCTGAGACACTGCAATCGAGTCCACAGGGTCAACATTGCATCAATGTCTGAACAGCTAGAGTCGCCACAAGTCACTGCCGTGTACTGCAAGAGCGAATCTCAGATAGCTAATGGCCTAACAAAAGTCATTCCACCTGCAGAATGGCCACATACTCTCGCACAGTTTGGCTTGACAGCATCCAGCGATGGACCCCACCTGGAAACTGCCGTCGCCGCACTTGCAGAGGCAAATCTTGCCGCAGAAGTCTTCGCAGGCAGTTGCCCAAAGGTCCCGACTTGTCAGCATCTGGTGCAGCTACTGACGCTGTTACCTCATGGTCCTGATAAGAGGGGGGCACCGGGGCACGACTCGCATGTATTTTCTGCGGGCGCATTTGTCTTAGGAGGAGTGTTTGGCCTGCAGACAAACACACACAAATTTCAATATGCAACGGCGTTGATATGTCGATTCTTTCGACGTTATATGCCATCACACAAGTTCTCAAGCATAATCGTGCAGCAAGGTGTAGTCGCGGGGCTCCACCGAGACTCCAACAATGCAGAAGGCTCAAAGAACCTCCTTGTAGCGTTAAATCCAACAAGTGGACCCATATTGTGGGTAGAAGATGAGGAAGGGACTGTCCAATGTCCAAACGACGACAGCCTATGGGGTCACATGTTGTGTAACCCTGCACTCTTCAATCCCAGAGCACGCCACTGCACAGTCCTGACAGGATGTGAGGCTTCAGAACGAATCGTTGCCATAGCATTCCTGATCAGAAATGCCGAGCGCTTGAGTCCTTCAGACCGCGCAACACTACTGAGCGCAGGTTTCAACCTGCCCTCAATCTGCTAGTCCAGTCTTACCGTTCTGTCTCCTAAAGGGGGGAGTTAACTAAACTGGCCCCAAACCACCGTTTAGCTGTACATACCACGTAGGGTTAGGAGAGCAGATTCGGATGACTGATTGTATTTTGGCTCAAGGAAAATAGGCGTGCCCGTTGTGCGTCTTTCCTTGTCTTAAGTACCTTTGTTGTACTTAACTTAAGGAGCCAAAATCCTAAGCCTTAAGCCCAAAACCCTTACCCCCTTCATTAAATTTGAATCCCTAAACCCTAGGCCTTACACTCAAAGCCCTTAACCCCCAAAAGGCAATCACATTTTGTTTACCCTAAACCCTAAACCCTAAACCCCAAACCCCAAACCCTAAACCCCAAACCCTAAACCCTAAACCCTAAACCCTAAACCCTGCTTTGTCATTCTCAGGCTTCTCAGCGTTCATAAGCGCTCGAACCTTGCGGTCTTGGGCTCGCGGCTCGGGTGTTGCGGTTCATCCTAACATCGGTTTGATGGTTTAGGGTTTAGGTTTTAGGGTTTAGGGCTTAGGGCTTAGGGTTTAGCGTTTAGGGTTTAGGGTTTGGGTTTAGGGTTTAGGGTGTACGCGCGCGGTGAGTGTGCCTTTGCTTTAGACTTTAGAGTCACAAGCGCACTCCCTATCGTGCGCTCACATAGTTTAGCCCAAGGCAGCCTAAATGGCTCGTGGACAGCGTCGTTAAGGAGGCTTCATGGGGGTTGTCCTGGGAGGCTTGAATCTCCCAGGCCATAGGTTCGCCACGCACGTATACGGGCAGCGGTGCTTTCGCCTAGGTATCAGTGTTCAGGGTTTGGGGTGTATGGTGTAGTAGGGTTAGGGTTTAGGGTTTAGGGGGGTGACGTCAAGAGATAGCCCTTTCAGGCGGTAGTTCTCTAAATTAGGGTCCCTTTTTGAATCCAATACATGTGCGCCTCCCTCAAACTAAGGACCCAACAGGGACCCTATTTAGAGAACTACCCATACATGTTGTGGTGCACTGGCCCATGTAGGAACTCGGGTTTCCACAATGTCGCCCAGCGCCATCCCGGGAACTTTTAAACCCCAAATCCAAAACTCCAAAACGCTGAAGCTACCTCATAAACCTTAGAAGCCCTAAACCCCAAACGCTACCCCCCCCCCCACCCCCGCCCTCAAAAAAACAAACAAAAACCTAAATCTCAAATACAACTACACCCAAACTCGAGATGACATGCAAGCCCATCTTGAATAACCCCCAGCCTTGAAACCTAATCCCTTCAACCCTCAACCCTTCAACAAACCCCCAAACCCCCAAACCCCCAAACCCCCAAACCCCCAAACCCCCAAACCCCCAAACCCCCAAACCCCCAAACCCCCAAACCCCCAAACCCCCAAACTCCCAAACCCCCAAACCCCCAAACCCCCAAACCCCCAAACCCTACAACCCTTCAACCCTACAACCCTACAACCCTACAACCCTTCAACCCTCAGCCCTTCAACCCTAAACCCTAAACCCCCAATCCATTTTCCAATCCCAAGAGCACCTGAGCAGGGCGCTTCTGGCGCGATCCTTCGTCCGCACGCTGAGCGCGCCCTGCGCGACGCGGTGGAGACTGGGTACTCCTGGCGGCATCTGAGGTTTTAGGGGTTTACAAATTTGGGGGTTTAGGGGGTTTAGGGGGTTTAGGGGTGTAGGGTTTTAGGGGTGTAGGGGTTTAGGGGTTTAGTGGTTTTAGGGGTTTAGGGGTTTTAGGGGTTTAGGGGTTTAGGGTTTAGGGGTTTAGGGGTCTAGGATTTAGGGGTTTGAGGCTTGGGGCGTTTTGAGTGTCTAAGGGTGAGGTCTTTGGGTTTTTAGGATTATTGTTTTCAGGGTTTAGTGGGGTCAGGGGTTTAGGGTTTTGTGGGGATGATATCTGCGTTTGCACTTGGCGTTGTCTCCTTTCGAATTCTCATGCCGAGAGCTGTGAACCCTGCAACCCCTCCACAGGGTGGTGTTAGGGTTTCAAGTTTAGGGCCAAGCCCTACACCCAAACCCCAAACCCTCTCAGGGCTTTTGGCTGTCAGGGTTTGGGGCTTTTGGGGGTAGCTAAGGGATAAAGGAGGGATCGCTGGAAGGGGCCCTTAATCTAATTCCCCTATATACCTAAACCCTAAAAACCTAAACCCTAAACCCCTAAACCCTAAACACCTTTTTTTATAGTCGCCCCTAACATCCCTGACAAGGGTCCCTCCTTTAGTCCCTGGAGGTGGCAGGGGTGATGAAGCCCTTGAACCCTAAACCCTTAACCCTAAACCGTAAACCCCAAACCCTAAACCCTAAACTCTAAGCCGAGGTACAAACGCTCGTATCCCCATCTCGCGGCCCCTTGGCCGGTTTGGGAGGCTTTTGTCGTGCTGCAGGCCGAGAGCGGTTTGGGATTGTTCGGGGACCCAGGCCATCGTTCCCCCTTAGGATTCATGTGGTTCTGACATGAATATGGTAATGGCATGTGGACAGTGAATAGAATGATCTCCAGAATGCCCA